CCCACCCAAATTTGGCCTACACACCCGCCGAATCAAGACGCCAGCGAGATATAAGTAGTGCAAACGCTTTAGTAGCGTCTATATATTAATACACTAAAAAATCTCACGATTATAGCTTTTGTACGTGGCTTAATAACCTCATCTTTTTTGTCGTCTGATCTTGTTGGGGTGGCTCGTCACGCGAAGTGGCTCGTCACGCGCACGGTTACTGTACAGGGTAATGAGTATGCAGCAGCATACAGAATTCCCTCACACAACTCTCATTGAGGGTCAGAAAAAGCAGATGCATGTTGCATACATATACATCTGATTTTGAAGTCATGTGTCTAGATTCAATTGGCCACGGAAATCTTTATACCGAAGAAGAGGCTTTTCTGAGTCTAAATCGTCTATATAAACCCCCTCGACCTGTCTCTTTGAAATCAATCATCACACTCAGGCTCCTCCTTCATCTACACAAACCACAACACTTCCACCCCATTCCATGCCCAATCTCCCCAATAACAACCTCCTCCTCCATCATGTCTGACTATACCGGCCCCGGAATCTACACCATCTCTCCCTTCCACGCCCCCGAGATGGAACTCGACATCTGGAAAGGCGAAACAAAAGAAGGCACCCAAGTCAAACTCTAGTAAATCCCCCCTTTTCCATGTCCCTCCTTTTTCCCTATGTTTCGAAAAAAAACAGTACGACTAACGAGTTTTACAGCAAGAAAGCCTCAACTTCATCAAACCATCAATTCCAGATTGTCTATGCTGGAGGCGTCGGCGGTCACCCTGAGAAGGGCGACCGCGAGTACTTTATCATTCCTGTCAACTCTGGTCTCTATGTGACTGCTCATGGTACGAAGAATGCAATCTCGCTGTTAGCAACTGGAAAGTTGGTGAACTAATGCGAAGTCTATAGAAACGGAAAAGGTGGTTACTACCCAACTGCTTCCCCCCAGGGATGCCTCGATCCGCTGGAAGCTTGCCCACGCCGGCAACGGTGCTTACTAGTGAGTGTCTTGTTCTTTTTTTTCTTACAGAATTCGGGGTTATGCTAATGGCAATACAGCATCAACCATGTGGATGGCAAGAAGCAACTCAATGTCCGTGGTGCGGGCAAAGCTGATGGAACGGAAGTCATTACCTACAAGATAGAAACATCTCCCAACAGCCAGTTCATCCTCAGGGCGGCAGCATAGAGACGCTGTCAGGGCTATGCTATTGCCGATTACTAGTGTTCAGAGCGCTTTGAGTTGTCAGTCACGTGGTACTGGTATGCCGTGCGGCACTGCCCTGTCCTACCACCTGACCGAGAGAACCGACTTTTAGGTCGGGAGACTTTTCAAAACTCTTTTGTCACTGAGCTTAGTCACTTTGCGATATCTGGGTAAATAGCAACAGAACAGGTCACTCAAATTGCCTCTAATGCACTATGCAGTCATACTGTGATTACTTGCCCCCAGCATTTACACACGATATATGAATGCTTCTGAGAAGCCATGGCCTGAACTTGGACTTCTTCATTAACTAGCGCTCTAACTTTTCTCATGTGTATGGAAATACCCCGACGGCCATTACGTGCGCATTACTCACTGCAGCAGCACGCTTCTTCTACATATGCAGTGTAACGTTACAGCCGGCAATCGATGTCGGTGAACCAGCTCTTGCCGATTTCGCTTTTCGGCCACCCTTTATATCCACAAATCTCTCCCCGACATGACCTTATGGATGGCGATTCGGAACAGCTTGAGGCAAATGCATATACAACTAGAGAAAGCTTAACGTGTTTTCAATAGCCAGCGGCATAATCAATATCAATCCCCACCAATTATACATCACCCTAAAACAAGCTTCTGAGCCCCAGCCCTCAACCACCTTCCGGCTTACTTTATCTGGTCTCCCCACGGAGCCGCATCCTTCTACCGCGGTGTGGGGGTAATATGTGGGGAAGCGCGCTCCACCGTCATGCTACCCCTCCTACGCATACATACGTACACACGCTATGACGATACTACACTCTCTCCACCGAGCAACTCCACCACGCCTCCTACTCACAAAACGATCCCCGATCAACCTCAATTCCCCTCCACACAAACCCAGCTACAAGTTCTTCTCCAAAAGAAAAATGAACACCCTCCAAGAAGCAAGCCGGATATACAAGGCCCTCCAAAAACCCGGTCCGACATTCGGAGGATGGCAGGTCCGTCCTCGCAGCATAACCTTCAAAAAACACCAACAATAATGAATAAACACTGAGAATAAAAAAATGAACGCAGATGCTCCCAGGCACCAACCTCGCCCGCTCAATCGCCCGCTCAGGCGTCGACTGGATTTGCGTCGACACAGAACACGGCAACATATCCGACAGCGAAATGCACGAAGCCGTGACGGCCATTGCACTGGCAGGCGTAAGTCCGCTTGTAAGAATCGCCGCGAATGAAGCGTGGATGGTGAAGCGTAAGTTTCTCTCTCTCTCTCTCTCTGTCCTCCCGTGACTTTACCAAAAAAGAAACAAAGAAAGAAAAGCCTTTTCCCTGTCCAACAAACCCGAGGGATTTGAGAAACTCTCTTACAAAAACAACTTCACACCGAACGTCTGACAAGCAGGCTAATAATCCTACCTACCAGGCGCCCTCGACTCGGGCGCACACGGCATAATCGTGCCTCTAATCTACACCCTCGACGACGCAAAACGCCTCGTTTCATCCGCCAAATTCCCTCCACAAGGTACCCGCGGATTCGGCTCACCTTTACCAACCCAGTGCTTCGGAAACGAAGCAATGTCGTATTATCTACAGCATGCGAATTCGTTAGTCTCCCTTTCCCCCCACCCTTCCTTCCTTCCTTCCCCATCTTTCCCCCTTAAATTTCCAATACTACTGATTTTATGTGACTAACCAAAAAAAAACAATACAAAAAGAACGCTCATAACCATCCTCCAAATCGAAACCCTCCCCGCTCTCACTGCTGTCCGCGAAATCGCTGCTATCCCCGGCGTCGACGTCCTCCTTATCGGTCCCTTTGATCTAGGCAATAATATCGGGCATCCCATTCTCACGGGCGAAATCGCGCCCGAGCTGGATGCCGCGATTGAATCTATCAAAGAAGCGGCGCATGCTGAGGGGAAAAAAGTCGCCATTTATTGTAATTCGGGCGAGGATGCGCGCAGGTATGCGCAGAGGGGATTCGATATGATGAGTGTTTTGACGGATCAGATTGGGGTTACTGGGGCGTTTAAGAGCAGTTTGGGGGTCGCGAGGGGGGAGGTGGAGGGGAGTAGTGGGGGGGATGGGAAGGTCAAGGGGTATGATGGGAGGTGAGGATAATAAGAAGAAGAAGAAGAAGCTATTATTGTCGTAATAGTATTCTCGAGTCGTGATTGCATGTTTTGAAGAGTTGAGGAAATTTCAACAGGCTCCGCTGAATACCACGGATTCTAGTGTACATTGTTTCGTTTCAGTCCTCGTCGTCTGGAAAAACAGCGGGAGATAAGTTATTTCCATGCACGTGTTTCCAGACTACGATGAAAAACCTTAACCTTTCATACTCATACAGAAGAATGACACTCTAACAGTAGGATCGACTATAGGGGCTGGGAAGGAAAAGGCAAGATAGCAGACAGAAGAGATAGGTTCCAGGCTCTCTCCTAAGACTACTACGCTTGTCGACGAGATGATGAAGATTTTACCTTCTTGCTACGCCTCATGGATATCATGCGGCCTCCCTGAGCAACTTGGCCGTTGCCATTGCTGCGTGACATTGAGCAGGCCGGGTGTTCATCCGAAGCGGACATGGAAGCCATGACGAACGAATCGGTGTTGTGTCCATAGTACAGCAACACGCCAGTACGCATCTTCTTGACACCTAGAATGCCAATGGCCCCGGCTGAATTACTGTGCTTGACACTTGGATGGCCTAGATGCTGTTAGCATAATCAGAGTAACACCCTGGAGAGTCACGTACCCATAAACTCATTCTCGATCATGGCTTTCAAAGCTTCGTCTTCGGTCACCTCGATATACTCCCCACCACGACCCTTCTTCACACTCTGGTAGAGCCGCTCGGCACAAACAGTAGCAGCCATTGTCGTCGCCATATGCTCACCAGTTCCGCTAGTAACAGTCGCTACGCATATCTGGTCGGGGTCGTTTGGATCGGCGGGAATGACTGCAGTGCCTACTCCGACGAGAGCTGCGGGGCCGACACGCCCTCGGTACTTCATTCCAATACCTCCAGAAGAAGCCCCACAAGCTATATTACCCCAGCTGTCTATCGCAATGGCTCCAACGGTGTCGGTGATGTGGTCTTCATCGGGTTGTTGTGGACTTGGTCCGGGTGGAACCGGCCGAGTTGGTTCGGTCTCTGTAGTCTTACTGCCCATACCCTTGAGTAGTTCAGGTTCCGCTGCTTGTTCACGAGGTGTTTTTGAAGAATGAATCTTCGCTGTCTGAGCGCTGGATCCAGAATCGGAACCGTCGCTCGAACCATCAGCCCAAGCTTTGCGTGAAAAGGCCGGATGCATTTCTTCCTGCGGACTAGCATCCATGACACTATTATAACCCAAGTCAGGACCCGCTTGAGAATCCCTGCATTGGCTCAGGGTAGGCACCGTCTGCGTGCTATTGATGAAAGCATTACGAGAAGGATTGTCGATCAACGATGTTTGTTCAGTCAATTCCGGGGTACTGGTTTGATCGTCACTATTCCAAGAACCCGAAGACCGCTTTGATAGAGGCAGAGAATCAGACTGATTACTTTCAACCTGGTCATACATTGTTTCATCCGAAGATAGGGGTGTGCGCGATTGCGAGAGGAATGTGCACGCTGCTAGTAAGTTCTGGGTGTGTTGTTCGCGCATGCGTTGTCGTTCAGCCTCGTCTTCTGACTCTAGTTTCTCCCGGATTTTCCAGCATGACGGGTGTGTGCCGCTCTTCTTCGATTTGCGCTCGGCGGACCTCAAATCCGAGAGCCATCGCATCCAGCGGTCTTTGGCAGCTGGTGAGATTAGTGCGTCGTGCGGTAGAGTCGGCATACCCATCTCGATAGCGAAATCGGTAGCACCTTGGGAAACCAGAAGGTTTGGAGGGACTCGACGCAGTGTAAGCGGATCCATGGTATGGCCGTGTACCATACGTGCTAGAGATATGGGGTTCTTTATTTCTGTATAGAATCGTTAATAAGATGTCAAATGTTTTTATCTCCAATGACTTACGAGCAACGGCACCAACGGCCCCGCTACGCCCATAATGATCTACGATGGAGGCATCACATTCTACAACGCCGTCCATAGCAAGGTTACTTCCGTACCCAGCGTTGGTAATCTCCCGGTCTTCGAGCATCTTAATGGCAATCTCAACAGCGTCTAATGCAGAGCCACCGTTCTTGAGAATGAGCATGGCGATTTGTGCGGCACTAGAGCAGATGAGCAAAAGTTTAGCAAGACTTCACAGTGCCAGAGATACCTACTCGTTGCACGCTTCTAGATGTATCCTCTCGTTCTGGTGGCTGTGGTACCCAGCCCCAGCATGGACATAGATGCAGCATATGTCGTCGTGGGGCGGACTACGTGCCGCTTTGCGCGTTTGTGTATCGACATGAGGCACCCCATCTACAGGCGCAAATTGATGACTATGAATCGACATGCCTTTGTGCGTCGAAAAGCGCCTGCGTATATGTCGAAAGTGAGGGGCGAAAGTATCCAGCGTATGGCACAACTGTCACCGGGTGCTGTTTGAACGAAGCCGAGTACGTGAATGTACAAGTTCTGTTTGCGTTGAGCACGTGCCGAGCGCAAGTTGGTGTAGAGGCCTTCAGTTGTCGTAAATCGTTGAGAGAAGCGGCTTTTAGGCGGCCATGCAATATGGTGACGGCTTCAGAATCAATGGTGAAATATATAGGGTATGGAGATAGCACAGGTTGACTGAGAGAGAAAAGAGAGAAACTGGAAGGAGAATAAGTTAAGAAATCGAGGCGACGGTGAAGGAACTGCGCGGCACGGACTATTGAAGAAATGAGAGTCGGAGAGAGATGCTCGGCGGGCGCTGTAGGACTACGGTCAGTGAAGGAGGAAAGGTTAGCAGTAGGTAATGTCAGAGCTTTGTTAGCGAAAGGCTCCTTCCTTTGCGTCTGTTGAAGCTATGTGCGTGGCATATAAATCATCACGTGTGACGCGACAAAAGACAGGCACTGCAGTCTGAGAAGAAGAAGGAGCGTCAGTGTTTACAAACACAGAGCTGCAGTAAGCTGGGACGTGGCTCGCCCACAAGTAATAGCGGCCCCCGCCATTGTCTCCCAATTCCCGCTGCCAAGAGCGGAGCGGGGCGGTGCCTGATTCGACGACAGCCCACATGCACCCGACGCCGACCTCCGCCATCACCTCTCTGACGAAGCCACCTCCACACCTGCTTCTCGCTTTTCTCCTCCACCCGGGATTCCCTCAGCTGCTTTTGCATATTTGTTTTTGTAGCAAGCAGCAGCAGTAAATATGGCGTCCCAAACCCCCGCCGTTGTCATGGACAAGTAAGCTCCCAGCTGCCTGTTGGCATCCCCACTCCCAATTGAGTACTGACGTTGGCACACAGCGGTACGGGATACTCGAAGCTCGGTATGCTAGACATTGATTCCACCCTCTTCAGCTCTTAGTAACGCCCAAACCCAGGTTTCGCCGGCAACGACTCCCCATCCTTCGTCTTTCCCACCGCGATAGCTACCAAGGGCCCAACTGGCGGTACCGGCGGATCTGGCTCTGGACGCCCAGCTGTCGCGAACAAGCCCTCATTTCTGACTGGTGGTGCTGGGCCTGGTGGCCATCTTTCTGGAAAACGAGGCACCGAAGACCTGGACTTCTTCATTGGTGATGAAGCTCTGGCCGCAGCAGGAGGCGCGGGCTATGGCATCAACTACCCAATTAGACACGGCCAGATAGACAACTGGGTACGGCGAGTCATTACGAAGGATGAGGCCAAAAACTGATGCTCGGCAGGATCTCATGGAGCGTTTCTGGTCCAATTCGATATTCAAGTATCTGCGAGTAGAGCCCGAAGACCACCACTTCCTGCTCACTGAACCAGTATTTCATCCTTTGGTAACTCAGGAAATACATATGCTGACTGTTATCCAGCCATTGAACCCCCCAGAGAACCGCGAAGCCACCGCCGAAATCATGTTCGAGTCTTTTAACGTCGCCGGTCTCTACATTGCCGTGCAAGCTGTGCTTGCATTGGCCGCGTCATGGACAAGCTCCAAGGTGCAGGACAGATCCCTCACGGGTACTGTCATCGACTCCGGTGCTGGTGTTACGCACGTTATCCCGGTTGCTGAAGGTTACGTCATTGGCTCCTCAATCAAGAGTGTCCCCATTGCCGGTCGAGACATTACCAACTTTGTCCAATCGCTCCTCCGAGAACGTGGTGAGCCTGACTCATCCCTCCAGACTGCTGAGCGCATCAAGGAGGAATTCTGTTACGTCTGCCCCGATATCGTAAAGGAGTTTGCACGTTTCGACCGCGAGTCAGACGACCGCTTCAAGAAGTACACGGTCAACTACCCCAACGGCAGGACCGCCTCCGTAGATGTCGGTTACGAGCGCTTCCTCGCACCTGAAATCTTCTTCAACCCCGAGATCTACTCCTCTGATTTCTTGACCCCGCTACCCACCATTGTTGATACCGTCATTCAGTCCTCACCCATCGATGTACGTAGGGGACTGTACAAGAACATTGTTCTATCTGGTGGTTCAACACTCTACAAAGACTTTGGTCGCCGCCTGCAGCGTGACATTAGACACATGGTTGATGCCAGGATCAAGGCCTCGGAAGCACGGAGTGGAGGTGCAAAGAGTGGTGGTTTGGACGTGCAGGTCATTACTCATAAGAGACAAAGACACGGTCCTTGGTTCGGAGGCAGTTTGCTCGGACAGACGCCCGAATTCAAGAGCTACTGCCACACTAAGGCGGAGTACGATGAAATTGGCCCCAGCATTGTCAGACGGTTCGCCCTGCTCGGTGGACCAGGAAGCTCGTAAACGGCCAAACATGAGAATACCAGGCAAGCGTATAAGTGAGAAGAATTTACTAAGCGAGCATAAAAGAAGTGCAAAGCTGTCGAGAATACCAGGATTGACATCACAACATAAGTTCATGTGATCGTGCCAACGTGATGTATCTGGTAAAATACGAGTATTTTTTACGGAAGATTTAACCAAGTAAAGGCAATGAGATTTTTCAAGTGTGTATGCTGATGTATGCGCTGGCTAAAAAAATTGTCTTTGTCCGTATGTCTCACCCCGAAAACGCCAGAGATATGCAGGCCAACTACTCCATCGTCACCTCACCACTCTGTGCCCCATTAGTTTCTCCAACCGATCCCATCGTCTTCCTAGTCAGCACAGCAACACCCTCTACATGCCCCGTTTGAGGGAAAAAGTCAAATCCCCTCAGGCTCTCAATCTCATAGCACCCTTCTCCCTTTCCAAACCCACCATCCACGCCCTTCATGCCACCAACCAAAACACCGACATCCCTGGCCTGCGTATGCACATTACAGCTCACATAGACAATTCTCGCAGGCCCATATTGCACCAACTGCCGCAGAAAAGATTCATCACAGCCTTTTCGTGGGGGGTCAATCATGACGACTGTTTCGTCAGCAGGAGTCTCAATCGATGCAAAGAGACGCGCAGCATCTGCAGCGATGAAGCGTGCGGAGCTTTCAGGTAAATTGTTCAGACGCGCGTTGGTTGTTGCGGACTCGATGCTCGACGAGGAAATGTCGATGCCTAGCGAGGTTTTGAATTGGCTCGATAGCGTAATTGTAAAGAGACCCGAGCCGGAGTATGCATCGATCAGGTGGCTGATTTTGTGGTTGGGAGAAGAAGGTAAGATGTGCTCGCGGATGTACTGAGTGAAGACGGGGAGGATGCTGTTATTGTTTTGGAAAAAGGAGCCTGCCGGGTTGACGAATTGGAAGTCGTCGACGTATTCGGTGGATTTGGCATTGGAGTCTGTTATGCATATCTTGCGGTGGATATAGTCGCCTCGGTCTTCGATGACTGCGTCTGGGTCTTCTTCTTTGGTAGCGTCGTATTCGGATTTAGGTATCCGGGTGGTACTTTCGCGGAGGAGGATGGTGGCGCCTTTGTTGTACTTGTCGATGGTATCAGCAACACGTTTGCGCTCGCGCTTGTTGCCTGCGCGCACGGCGTCCGTACCGATGGGGCAGTCTTCTATGTCGATGGTGGTTCTGGTTCCTTTCTTCATGAAGCCAATCGGCGGTACCTCTTTGAATGTACGTCTGATACCATTTCGGCCGTCGCTTCGACGAGCATCCGGTGGACCATCAAAGTGCGGCGTGAGCTTCGTCCTGTATCCGTATTGCAAGGGTGACCCAATGGTATCGCCAATAGTCGGAACGAGCTCAGGTGGTAGGTTGGAAAAGTTTTTGTAAGCTTTTTGAACGATGGACTTTTTGTGTTCCAATTGAAAATCGTAGGGCAGCATCTGAAATTGGCAACCCGAACAGCAGGAAAAGTAGGGGCACTTTATCAGAGAAGAGTCGCGGTGATCTGAGGGCGTAACAACATTGACAAAATCGGCCATGGAGTATTTTTCCTTCTCGAAATGCCTGTGCGGACGTGCGGTCACAACATCTCCAGGCGCACTAAAAGGTACAACAAAGACTTGGTCCGAATTTGAATTTTGCTGAAATCCAAGACCATCTCCGGTAGATGATATTTCCTTGATCTCGACAGTAATTTCTTTGAACTTTTCAGGTAGTTGCGTTGACGTCTCTTTGCCTTCTCTTTCTAGCTTGAATTTTTTGATGAGCGCAGTAACATCCTCCAACAAGACCTCCTCGTTGGTACCGTTTGTCTTTAGTATCTTGCTTTGCTCGGCATGGCCGTTCTTCATTCGTTTGTTCTTGAACCTGTAATTTCCTCGTGAACCTTCTTCGCTACGCAAAGGCGTCTCGGCGTGTCTTTTTGCGCCATTACTCTCGATGGGAGCGACATTATCTGCGGAAGAGGCCATACTGCGCTTGGCAATCTGGGAATACCGGCCAGTGCTCAGCACAGTTCGAAGTGGTCGACTGAAAATTCGGGAGTACATGCACCAAGTCTCACAGTCGAGAAAAGTTAAGTTAGTCACTGAGTTGGGAAGAGAGGTGATTGGCTACAGCATTTACTGCCCATGCCGCTTAGTCACCGTGAACTTTCCGAACTTCACCTTCAAGCACCACCAAGCGCGCAGACTACCCGCTGTTACAGCCTCTCCACGCTCAATTGGCCCTCGCGACGAGGCTCAAGGGCAACAATGAGCGTCTGCCGCCCCGCAAGATGTCTGTTTACCAAGGCCGCCTCAACGACCCTTCCTAAACCACCTCCGCAACGAACTTTCCATGCCTCCGCATCTCGGCAAGCCCGCAAGAAGCGACCGCATTACCCGTCAATAAAGGCAGACGAACTCAAGCTCCTCAACCAGGCCGCCGAGGCCGAGTACCCGAAATACGACACCTCGGAAACGACGCTTCTCGAGAAAAAATATACACCCTCACAAATCGCCGCCATCAAAGCCGCAGAAACCACCATCGATGCCCGAGATGTCCTTACACAGGGTCAGCGAAGAACCGATTTTTGGCGGCTCAACTACGAAGATGATCTTGCAGAAGTCGACCCAGTTACCGACCGGCCTGAGAAGCTGACCGGAGACGATATTGAGGGGCCAAAGACATTTCGGATTGCCAACGAGGTAGAACGAGATGAGAATATTTCCCGTATCGCCTCGGAGAACCTAGCAAAGATGTACCCAGACGGTATACCAGAGGACGACCCGGGCCTACAAAACGCCATGGATGCGGCTATTACGCAGGCTGCCCTTGATCCGCGCGCAACATATACGTCGAAGAACCCCGCCGCACTCCAGGCGCTTGGTGACGAACGTCACTCTGTAATTGCACCCGATCTACCGAGGGTAGAAAACCGCATGGCACGCCAAACCCGCCGACTGTCCACTGAAGAAGAGGAGGATCCTCGACAGAAGCGCCTTTTGCAATACCTGGGTTGGGACAAGCAAAAATTGCGCAGCATTCGCGTCAAGACACTAGTTGTTCACGGTGTTACAAATCAAACGCGCATGGGCAAAATTAGGAGTCTATACTACCTCACCATTGCGGGGAACCAAGACGGACTACTCGGTGTAGGAGAAGGCAAGTCGGTCGAACCTGAAGAAGGCAGGAAACAAAGTGTTATGAGTGCGATCAGGAACATGAGGCCTGTCCCTCGGTACGAGAACAGGACGACATTTGGAGATTTGGAGAAGAAGGTTGGCGCGACCAAAGTGCAGCTGTTTTCAAGACCACCAGGTATGTCATCTTATTCCAAGTCATTCCTTGGGGTTCTTTTCTTTTCTTTTCAAATAGTTTGCTAATTACATGGAACAAGGCTTCGGTCTCCGCGTCCAACATCTCATCTTCGAGCTCGCCCGCGCAGCCGGCCTCCAGGACCTCTCCGCCAAAACCCCGCGCTCAAGAAACAAAATGAACGTTATAAAGGCGACCTGGGAAGCCCTCACCAGCCAGAAGCTGCCCGACGAGATTGCTAGGGCACGCGGCAAGAAGCTGGTCGATGTACGCAAGGTGTACTATGGAGGCTCCATACACTAGACGACAGACACCATGTATGAATATTTTTTGATGTAAGAAGGAGGGGAAGAAAAGAAATGGAAAATAAATGTATCATACTCGAATGCATTGGGTGGTCTGAAATGCGCATATAAGCGTTTTTTTCTTTTTCTTGTGTTAGAAGAGAAATGTCGTGTATATCATACCATTCCTCCCCCACTTTTCCCCCCCCCATTTCCCATGACTCTAATATCCTCGCAATTGTTCTCTTCCAATTCATTTTACCTTTGGGGGAAAGGGGGTATCATATTTCTCCTCTCTCTCTCTCTCTCTTCCATCCTCCCTTGCCATTCCTCATCCCCCTTCACATCTCATCCACCCCTTCCCCCATCCCCTCGCCCTCCTCGCCCTCCCCAACCCCTCCATCCGTCTCAATCTGCTGATTCAACACAATACTATACACACTCGCTTTCAACAGCGTAAACACCAAGGATGTCTTGCGTTCGAGGCCGCGCAGCCCGTCGAGGATTACGGCGCTGGGATTGTTGGAGAGTGTGAGGAGGAGGGAGGACATCTGTAATTTTTTTTCGTTGACGAATTATCAGTTTTTTATTTTTTTTTGGCTTGTACGGATTGGAAGGTGTCTGTGTGGGAGGGTGTGGGAGGGTAAGGGAAGGTAGGAGGAGGAGGAGGAGGGGAAAGACGAACAGTATTCAAGTTTTCGAGTAATCGAGCGTATTCATCCAAGACTTCTTGTTCGAGGGGTGTGAGGGTTTCTTCGTCGTCGGCGTAAGGGGGGTCTTGGGGGTCGAGTGATGCCATTGTTTTCTTTTTTCGTTGAGCGGAAAGGGGTGTGTTGCTTAGGTGGTGATTGTTGTTTGTTTCGTTTCTTCGGGCAGTGTCCGGGGGCAGGGTCTGTTGTTTGTGATGCGCGCGTGTGTACTACCCTGGTGGTGGGGTTGGCGTGGGTGCAGTAGTTTGGATTTGCTGGAAGAGAGAGAGAGAGGAAGCTGCGCTTTGGAATAATCGTGTATGCGTGAAGGCCTCTTCTACTTTACTTGGAGGCTTCGTTTCTTCCGAGTAGAGTATGCGAGTTGCGGTGCAAACTACCCTGGTTGAATCTGAATCCTCGTCGCGTTGGGAGTCTACGAACCGATTGTCGCGTCTTCCCCGCAAACTCCGAAGTGGTCCATGCACATGTACCTTTCATCATAATATATAGGACATATTATTCGTCTTAAAGGATCACAGCTCAATTTGGATTCAAATCATGCAGAAAAATACGTCTTGTGATTAATTCCTCCCTTCCTAAAATCACAAACCCAGTCAATATCATCCTGCAGCCCGTTGTCCAAGCTGCCTACTGTTATACTTCATGTCTCTCGACATCCATGCCCCTAAAAACACCAACAAACAACGCCGAAAAAGATTTTGGAGCTGAAAAAATGCTGGCTTGAAAAGTTGAAAAGAAATATGCTTGAATCAAAGAAAAAAAGTAAGAACCCTTGAAACGCCAATGACATGAAAGACACTCATTTTTCCATCATACGTCGAAAGCAAAACGAGCAGAGTCGAGAAGAGTATCGGATACAAATGGCCTCGCTAAGAAGAGCCTGTCTGGAGTGTGCAAATCACCACTCGTCCTATCGATGCGAGTTGGTTTGCGAGTAATCAGAGTGTCCAGATTCGCTGTAGTCGTGATGATGGTCATGATGATCATCTCCGTCGTGATGAAGGGTGACACTGTTGAACTCCTCAAATGGATCTGCTACCTCGCCCATGGGGGTAGCAAGACCAGAGTCTAGCGGCACGCCCTTGGATTTCGCCGCACCTATATCCACGCTCTGGGATTCCTTGACGTTTCGGAAATTAGGCGTTTCTATGCCTTGGCCCTGGTGGGGAATAATAGGAGGTTTCATATGGCGCAGTAGCGCCCATTGTGTGGTCTTGAAGAATGGCGCACTCTTGATATCCGAGGCACCAGCGCGTGAACCGAGGCGGCGAGTCTCATCCTTGATGAGTAGCTTGCGAATAATGGCTTTGCAAAGACTACCAGATGTTAGAAAAGGAACCAAAAAACCCGTTTGTACATAAACTTACTTTGACACTTGCGGTGCACCAGAACCCTCTGGGAAGGGTACCTCGTCTCGAAGAATGTTTGCAAAAGTCGCGTTACGGTTCTTGCCCTTGAAGGGCGTGGTTCCGTACAACATTTCGTAAATCAAAATTCCAAGGGTCCACCAGTCGACCGCACTCGTATGTCCACAGCCCTTGATAACTTCTGGTGCAATGTATTCCTCGGTACCAACGAATGAATTGGTTCGGAAGTTGTTGATGCAAGATTTGGTGTCAATAGTTGGCAGATTATTCGATGAAGTACCGCTTCGGCCGCTGAGAATCATGGTTGGGCGACCGCCAGTGTCCGACTGTTTTGACAAATCAAAGTCTGACAACATGATATGACCGGATTGATGGAGGAGGATATCTAGGGAAGATTAGTACTCTCTTTCTGAAGGGAGGTAAAATTGATCCTACTTTCTGGCTTCAAGTCTCGGTAGATGAAGCCCATCAAGTGCAGATACTCCAATGCAGCCGTAACCTCGGCAGCGTAGAACCGCGCAGCGTCCTCGTCAACGCACTTGTTTGGTCGTGTCTGCAGAGCGCGGAAGAACTCACCGCCACTGCAGTATTCCATGCAGAGGTAGAGGTGGTCTTCGGATTGGAAAGAGTGGTATAGAGTAACGATAAATGGGTGGTTGCTGGTCGCCAGAATTTCCTGTTCAGCCAACGCACGCTTGATCTTGTTTCGCTTGATCATTTCTTTCTTGCTCAGGACTAGAGATGGTTAGCATGGGTTCCAAAAAAACAAAAACAAATGTGTGCCGTACCCTTCATAGCGTAGAGCCTGCTAGACTTCTTCTCCCGCACCAAGTAGACCTTTCCAACATCGCCTTTGCCAATCAGTTTGATCTTGTCGAAGCTGCCCGGGCCGACCTCAACGTTCCTAACCTTGATGGAGTTCGAGCTGTAGGTCCTCCTGAAAGCTACAGAATTGCGAATCTGGCCTGGAGACGGTATAGGCTTGCTAGCGTCGCTAGGTAGAAGGTGGGTCGAGTCTTGCGAGTGCGTTTCAACCATGCTCAGGGTGGATGAGTTGGGGTGGTGCAGGACGGGCTGCTTGCCAAGTTCAGCGGTCTGCGGTCTTTCATTAGACTTGCCAGACGAGAACAAGCCCTGAGCGTTGGGAGCAGAAGCTACCCTCCGTAGTTTCCTTGCCAATTCCTCCTTTCCAGCCGTTGTAGCATGATCATCCTCGGGACCGTTGCCGCCGTTCACTTGTGTCTTGGGTATGGTTTGTGAGCCCGTGGGAGACGGGGGCACGCTGCCGTCGTTGTGATGGCGCAGGGCAGGGGGACCTTGGTGGGCGAAATACGGGTTGGCGTGGGCAGTAGGCGAGAGGCCATCGTCAAGAGGATTGCCTTCGCTGGCGACGGTCTGGGAGCGGTTGCGAGTGATGTGCGGGATGAATCGTGACTGGCGAAAGCCCGACTTCTCGTTCTTGGAGTTTGGGGCGCCGCCCGTGGCGTCGTCGGAGAGCTTCTGGGCGTCGTTGCTGGTGTTGATGCGGAAGAAGTTCTTGATGCGCTGCGAGACCTGGCCGTCCTTTCCATTGACCGACTTGTTGGTGGACAGGGCCTTGCCCGAAAAAGTGCGTTTCTCCGTCATGGTGGAGTGGCTTGATGGAGACGAGTTGAAAAGCTGCGTCATAGCCGTGGGAGAACAGGAGGGATGGAAGACGCGCAGCGGGCGAGTGGTACGCCTAGCGGATGGCAGCTAGTGAGGCGGAGACGGTGACTCAGGGAGTAGTATTCGGTTGCGCGTTTAACGGTCAGTGGGCCATGGATGGCACGGCGGGAAAGGTCAAGGTGCCGGGATCGCGGTGCGTGTGGCTGGAGCGTCGAACGGGAGTTGGCAAAGAAGGACGCTGGCAGTGGGGCGCAAGGGGCTGGCCGGGCACACCAGCAGCGAAGACAATTGACTACCACGCGGGAGCAGCGGGCGAGGAGGACGACGAGGACGAGGACGAGGGAGAGGTGGAGGTAGAGGCGGAAGCCGAGGGCAGGGTTACAGCAAAACAGGACAGGGCACAGCAGGGCAGGGCTACTTAGAGTATGGGCGGGTTGGGAAGCCAGAGCCGTGCCGGATAGACGCAGAGGCCAGGGCGGCGAATCAAGGGCGCGAGGGCTGAGGCCAGTGGGGGCTGTCGACTACTACCGCGCGGCCACTGTATTTCCAAGCATCCCCCCCAAATCGTCCGTTCATGCCTCCAGCACTGCCATTTATCAGCAATGCCATCCGTGCCATTCCCTCGCGCACGTCATCGCATCCCCTCCACCACGCCCACCGCCTGTGTCATCTTCCCCCCCAAACAAGACGTCTGACGTTGCCTCGCACATCCATGAACGCATCCGACCACTGTTCCTCTACCCCGTCCAGCGCCAATCCGTTCCAGACCCTCCCCTTTGGGCCTAGTCCATCGTTCGGCCCCGGCCCTCCGCCGTACAGTATTACATCGGCCGTGCATGGCATATTAGTCCCATCTCCCTCCTTTGCGCCTGACTTCACCTGTACACAGCCTCCCCAGCCATCCATGGCCACAGTCGAGTCATGCCATTACATTACATTACATTACATTATTCTGTTTGCCTGTGCGGCTGACTATACTGCCTACTTAACCATACAATGTCTGCCCTCCTATACAACCTAACTACTCGAGGTCCGAGCCACAAGAAGACATGCAATTGCTCTCCTGCCCACTTGCCATCTGCCATCCAATCCCCCTTGTTGAATACCCCCGAGAAAAAGAAAATCTGCCGAGTAGAACTGCAAGGCAAACTGCACTACCTGCCTGTTGAATAAACATTATCCACCCTATACTCATAACCCCACCGACCAAAGTCTCGCCATAGTCAGGCAACATGGCATCCAGCCTATCCAGTCACATACGACAAAGAGCCCAAATTCCACGACCCTTCAAGTGCGCGAGCTCCTGCGGTACGCCTCAATCTCCTCCATCTCGGTCTTCTTGAGCTGCTGGAAGCGCTGGCGCCACTTCTCTGAACGCTTCGTCCTCTCCTCAGGCGACATGGTGCGAACGTCGTCCTTCTTGCCACGTCGGAACTTGTTCGTCACCTGTTCCAGCTTTGCCTTTGCCGGTGAATGCTCTCCCGCCTTCTTGGGCGATCCGGGAGTGTTGGTACGCGACGATGCCACAGTCTCGCGCTCCGTGTCAGTCGTCTTGGTTGGCGAAGACGCCGCCTTTTGCTTGCCCTTGCCGCTCGACGACTTGAAACAGGATGCATCGCTCTCCTCGTACTCCGTAGTGTTGGCTGTCTCGGCAGGTCGCTTCTCCCCCACCATGGGCGTGCCACAATCGTCGATATGCGTATCGTTGATCATCTCCGCAAGGTCATCCATAGCTCCATCCAGTCCTGTGAACCCAACGTCAGTAAAAGCCTTACCAGAAGGCGTACCATACCTACCAAGCTCCTGAGAGCCCTGTTCCTTGGCCGTAGTGTAGTAGCGTTGCATGGTCAATGGTGTGCCCAAGTTGCGATTCTGCATCTGGATACCCAAGAACTGCTGTGGCGTTCCACCATTCGACTGTGCAATGCCTTTGTCTCGAATCTCCTTGTTCGCGTCGTTCGGAGTGTTTGGAGCCATAGCTTGCCCATGCCCAGATACCATCTTCAGTGGGAAAAGACTAGGGGGTGCAAGATAACGTGCACCTGAGACAATACGCTGCTGTGAAGCCTTCATCACTTCATTGCCCATCTTGTACGGGACAAGTCCTCCCTGGACGTCTCCTTGGGAGCCAGGCCCGAAATCGCGACGAGCATCGTCACTCAGGCTAGGCTTTGACAACCGAAAATTCTCATGGCTACTACCAAAGCTGTCGATGCCACGAGGAGAGTCGTGAGGCAAGGACTCTGCAACCAGCCCTCGGAGTGAAGGAGTACTAGAGTTGGCACTGCGTTGGTACTCGGCTTGGCGCTTTTTGGTTTCGTCCGTGAGGAAATGCAGGAGACCTTGAATATAGCCTTGCAGCACATCCGGGCTGTCCGGAACACCAACGTGATCGTAGCCAGCTTGGTAACCTTCTTGCCATGTGCTTGGAACGTGCACGACAGGCTTGTCAGAGAGTTTCCAGCTCTGGCCAGTGCTGCTGTTTTGGGCCGAGTTCACCCGCGAGACTGCATTACTACTCCGAGCAGTCCTGGCTACGTTTGCATCCATACTTGGTATACGCTCGATTGGGGCCGACAAGGACTGGTTCGTAGTGCTCTGTCTCAGGGAGGGCAGTGAAGGCTGCTTGCCAAATGCTTCTGGCCATGAGGTAAGCTTGGGCGTGGGCTCATGCTTGCCAGCGCGACCTGGGTGCCCTTCGTTCCATGGGCTGGCAGGCCAATGTTCCTCTGGTGTCAATGGAGCAGCATGGGTTTCAGCCGACGGGTCGTTATCCTTAGTCGGTGGCGCTACCCGTGTAGAAGAGTGCTCATGTGTATTGATAGGGAAGAAATCCATGGTATCAACGCTGGATATACTATGCTTTCGGGTCGGTGCTCCACTGTCTTGCTTGCTAGGCTCTGAGGCTTCCTGAACATGCCAAGGCGATGACTTCTCTGGCGAAGGCGTAGGCGGTACAGTTCCTTGCATGCCATTGGGTTTGGTAGCTGGCTCATAGGTGGGGCTCTTCGGGTTAAGAGATGAAGGCTTCTTGCCCTCCTCCGGAGGCGGAGGCTTGATCTCAATGGCACGAGAACGACGGTTGGCTGATCCAGGAGGAGAAGGCGCCGCATGTGGATTGGCCATGTTTGGTACAAACGCTGCCGGCTCCACTGGGGGGAAGCTGGGGAAGCCACCATAGGGCTGCGGCTGCGCTTGGTACATCGCCATGAGTGCATACTGATTGCCAGTGGCGAAGGGATACATTGCAGGAGCAAACGGCTGTTGGTTCTGGACTCCAAATGAGGGGACGGGTGCTGTGGACACGCCGACTGCGTTGGACAAGGAACCAGGCTGCGCTGTGATGGCACCCGACTCCAGTGCCGATATCTGCTTCCTGAGGGCATCGAGTTCGACAATGAGGCAGCGCTTCTTCTCGATCATACCCGCTCGCCATGCATCACTCTGGTGACTCGACTGTAGCACTTCAGTCTGCTCGACAGTTCGGAGCTCTTGCTTCTTCACGGTCTGTTGTGCCTTCAGCGTAGCAAGGTCCATGCCAGCAAACGGAGTGTGGGTGCTAGAACGTGGCGGGCCAAAGGAAGCGCCTGGCATAGTACCATGTACAGCTGATGTAGATGGGTCAGGGCCTCGCTTGATTGCTGGATCCATGGCGGCAGAGCCATTAGGAGGCAGTGTAGAGCTGGTCGTGCTAACTGTTGGGAGTGCAAACATACGATCACCGACGAAGATGACAGGCTGGCCACCAATAACCTCAATCCGTGCAGTGTTATTGCCGTTCGATGGGGCTTGCATTGACATGACGTTGCCTGGAGCGAATCGCAACGGTTGTTGCGGTCGGTATGCGGTGTCGCCGTATCGAGCTGTGCCAAGTGGTGGAAGGTCGCTGGGAACAATTCTGCCTCCAGCAGTCACTCGCAGACCAGGCGGACTGCCGTGCTCCTTGAGAAGTTTCTCGGCCTTCCCCCGCTTCAACGATGGTGTAGGCGATGGCCTCTTCTGAGATCCTACCGGAGCGGGAGTCGTCGTAGGAGGAACCCTCAGGCTTCTATTCGACAATCTGCTGTTCAGATTTGCTGCTGCAGATGCCGAGGGACGCAGAACGTGTTCTAAAGGGAAGTGTGTCAGTGTTTATCTATATGTACAGCAAGTACAGAGATCGAGACAACGGCCGACTGCGGAAGGAGGTATGCGGCGGCGGCGAGGTGGTAATGGTACAGGTGTTTATAAATTTTAAGGGATATTAAGTTTTTGTAGCAGACGAGAATTTTTTTTGTGTGGGTAGTGTGAACGGTGAGAGGTGAGAGGTGAAGAAGGGCATAGCCAGCACCGACCTCTGATTGCATCCTCATCAGGAAACTTCTCAATCGACACAGCCGATTCCGAAACCGAATCACGCAGCGCCAGCAATTCATCCACTTTGTATGCGAGAGACATTATGGGTAATCCTTTACCCTAGATGGGTATCGCCGGCGAGGTACCGTTAACCTGACTGTGCCGTCGGTATCGTCTGACCGATGGAGACAATGAGCCGGACACGTGAAGGAGGTTGAGATGGTGTGATGCAAATATCCTTTCATCGTCAGTATTGCTTTTCAGGTTTACGTGCTTGAGTGTGTCCGTCGATATGCGTGCCATCGTAGTTGGAAGTGGGTTGGCATACCTCAAAGCTGATCGATGTGGAGGCAACGTGAACGAGCGAAGCAACGGCTAACCAGGGGGCCGGGACGCAGCAATGCGAAAGAAGACGGGGCGGAACAAGAAGATGGAACCAAAAAGAACGTTTGTGTGTGTTGTGGTGGAGAAGAGAGTAGGCGGTTGAGGAAGTTGTTATAGCTTGCATGCTATCGCAATTACCCATACATGGATACATCAGGGTCTGCAGATGAGGAAAGAGACGAGACAGAGATCGGCCAAGTAGGGCTTCACGAGGGAGGGCTTGATTTGTGAAGCAGTAGAGATGGCATGAGTGCAGCCACCTTTCGCAGTTGATGAAGAAAGCACGGTTGATAGACAACACACGAGAGAGAGAGAGCGGAAGTTGTGACTAAGACGAACAAAATGCAGCGAGAGAAGAGAGGGCACGTAGTCACTATAATTTAGCAGCGCCCTATGACTTTTTCACGTGGTTAGGTCCACTGAATCTGCCAGCTAGATGCAGTCTGCTCATCTCGAACACCTGAACGCCTTCGCTATGACATACACGTCACACAACATACCACTTTTGGGCAACCATTTCCGACAAGTGATGTATCCTTTTTCGATCCCTTCCTCATCTTTACCATGCTACTTGAACTCCGGGGGTAGTAGCCTATCTTCTGCGAGTAGCACGAACGCTTGCAGGAGGTGCCGACTCGAAAGCGTCATCAGACTCGATCTCATCATCGCTCTATGGCTCATTAGCATATGTACATCATATCAGCTGGCCCAAGAATACTTACAGCTTCCTGTACAGGCTGCTTTCTGCGCGATGCAGTAGGTCGTGTTATCTGACTGCGCTGTGTTGGTGTTTGGGAAAAGTTCAACTTGGTCTGAGTGGCCGGCGCCTTGGCTCGTGTAGCAGGTGTCTTCTTAGCTGGTGACTTTGCTCGTGCTGGGGTTTTTGTAGGCTTTGCAGCGGGCTTTTTCGCAGGAGCTTTCTTCTGCGATGCTACGAACAAGTCTTCTGCACTGTCTTCTTCGTCGTCGTCGTCATCAAGCATAATAACATCATTGTCGTCCTCTTCCTCTTCCTCCTCTTCCTCCACTACTTTCTTCTTGCCTCGGCCACCTTTGGCAGCAGGTGCTGCTTTTTTTGTGGCTTTAGCTGTCTGACGAGTTGTACCGGTTGCTTTTGCGCGGCCAGGCGGGGCGGCCTTCTTCGTCGGTATAGAGGCGAGGCCCTCTTCATCTTCTTTCTCTTCCTCGTTATCTGAGCGTATAAGAGCACCAGGTTGATCTACCCACGGACCTTCGAAGTCACTGTCCCAACCATCTGGCTTTGGTTTGATTTTGGATTTACGGACCTTCTTCAGCTGTCCCGAGGCAAACAAATCCTCTAATTGCTCGCGATATTCTGTCATCTCCTTGACGATTTCTTCTTCCTCAACTTCGTTGGCATCCATAAGATGCTTGAACTGAGTTGTGAGACTTTCTTTGACAAAAGTCTCCATGGCGTGTTTGTCGTCTTTATCGACGTATTGTGATACAGCATCTCCGAATGAGTTTTGAGGCAGAATTGTCAATGTTTGCGCTGTGAGGAATTCCTTGACTAGCTTGTCGACTTTTATCGAGTCAATTGAGAGCTCAGCCAGGGCCTGTTCGTCTGGTTCCTCGATGGCATTCTTCAAGGTTCTGGTTGTTGGTTTCTTCTTCCGATGAAACTGAACTACATCATTGATATTCGCTACCTTCTTCATGAAGCGATTTGAGATTCGCTGTGGATTCTCACAATGGAATTCGCCAGGCGATGGAGCGGTGTATTCAACGCGCAGTCGAACAAGGGGCAGCGGAACTTCGATATCGTCGCCTTCTTCACGATCTGTCTGAAGTTCGAGCCATTCTCGTTTCGCTTCGTCAATGAGGTCTTCGATGACTTGATTTAGATATTGTGTAATCTTTGCACGGTTGTCGCTGACACGCCAGAGTTCCTTCTGCTTGATCTCCCTTTCTTCCGCCAGAACAATCTCTTTCATGATAAAAGGCCGCACTGTTTTTAGGCGGATGTTCTCAGTGGTAAACTCCTTACCAGTGACGCTTAGGATACACACATGTTTGGGCACAGCTTCGCCCGGCATCAGAGATGTCGCGACTGACGAGCCTGGTTGCATGACATGAAAGCCCATTTCAGGGTTGTACCGCGGATCTATTAGGCACTCATGCTCATGACCCCATACCACAAGATCCATGAACTCGGGAAGGAAATTTTCTGGCAGATAGCTGGTTGGTGTATGCGCATGGTGGTTCTGATGAACGCTCATGAGATTGAACCATTCATCTTTTTGCGTACCGGGCTGGAAGAACTTGACGTTGCCCTCTCGCCATGTGTGGAACAAGCGCTCATCTCGCACATTGCTCAGGCCGTACAACGCAAGCTTGGTACGGCCTTTTTGGAGCAGTACTGGCTTGACGGCTATGTTATCCACTTCCGGCGTACGCCCAAAGTAGTTCACAAATCCAGACGCTTGCAGTAGATCAAGTGGAGAGTAGGAACCCTCACCCGAAGGATCGTCGTGGTTGCCATGAATGGCAAAGACTGGTATCGCAATATTGATGTCTTCGTCTTCATAGTTGACATGGTCGAACATGCCACCGAAGTTCTCGCTCGCATCGCTCAACATCTCCAGCTCGCATGGCTTTTCTCCGAGGCAGTTCATGCGCAACGAACGCATCACCTGGAACATGGATTTCCGTGACGGTTTGTTCTCATGGAATAAGTCCCCAGCGTGCAGTACCATATCCACATCGTGCTCCTTGGCCAGGCACATGACTTCGTGGAAAGTCCTCCAACTATCATCTTTTCGCACGGCATCGCGCTCGTTGTACCCAACATGGCTATCTGTAGCGACCAGTATACGAATTGTATCTGCACCTGCAGACTGTGTTAGCACAGACATATTGTCGGAGCCTGTTGCTGTAGCCTACCTCGCTGGGCACCGCGTGCTCGTGGTGGCATATTGTACAAGCGGCGTGGCTGGAAAGACGAATTCTTGTAACTCTCACTATCGGCAAAGCACGTAGCAGGCCACAAACAAACGCTGCACAATTGGCACACAGTAGGTTCTTCCAGCGAGAGCAACGGCTTGCAGCAATCACTTGCACTTCGCGTCGCGCTCTAGCCAAGCCATTAGCTCCACAATCTCCCCCGCGCTCTCACGTGGGTTTCCAGCGTACATCGGAAGCAATTGAAAACATTCGCCGACGACATCTCCCACGCTCACAATCGCCATGTTTCCCACACGCGTGCTATGCGCCCGGTCGGTCTGGAAAGGTATTTGCTAGTGTCGCTGCTGAATCTAGAGGCGAAGAAAAATGCTAACCATCCACCAGGACCCAATATCGTTCCGTAAGCCTCTGTAGGAAACCCTTCCTAGGCCTTTCTGACCGTGTTCAAGCCTCCCAATAGTCCAGAAAAAAGCAGGTGAACGAGTCCCACCGATCAAGACCCAAGCCCGCTCGGCCACGATACTCCCAAATTTTGTCGGTCTCAAGTTCCAAATACACAATGGCAAAAGCTACCTGGACATCACCATCACCGAGGATATGGTAGGACACAAGTTGGGAGAATTTGCACCGTATGTTCCTCGGAATGAGCCGATGAAATTAGCAATGGCTGACAATTCAACTCCAGGACACGGAAGCAGTTCATGTACAAGCAGACCAAGAATAAATGAAGAACGGGCCGCACGTGCATCTTATGGAAGTTTGGGTATCATTTTGGTGTGTGCGGAAGCCACTATGTACTGATATTGTACAATTGCGATAAGCCCTTTGCTGGGCAAAACATTCTGATCAGAAACCCCTGCGCCTGCGATGCCAATTCAACGCCGAGAATGCCTGTTGTGATAGCAAATAATTGCGTCCGTCATTACCCATCTTTCGTATATGCCAATGGAAAGCGGACACCGAGTGGGGCGTCGAGAGAGTGCATAGAGATGTGTCTAGCGGTAGAACTCGCCACGCTTGATATTGACGCCATACTCGCCAACTGCCATGCCCAGGTCCTCCATGGTGAGTACAGTGCGTCCTTGACTGCCGCCCTGGCCGCCTCCGCCATAGCCTGGCCGCTGAATACCGAGGTTATAGTCTTTGGCCTTAGCACCGCTGTCTTTCCCGCCTGGCACTCCGCCTGGAGCAGCTGCGCCAGGCGGCCCTCCAGCACCGCCCATAGGGTTGTTGCTTGTTGTGTTTGAGGAACGGATCCGCGAAAACTGGTAAGCGTCGGCTGCAATGTCCGCGATGAACTTCTGAGTTGCGAGCGCCAAGAGGCGCGCAAGATGCTGTGATGTCTGAGGTGGTGGTGGCAGGCCAGCGCGGGTGAGGTAGTAGTTGGTCACTGCGTCGGGGATCTAACAACGTTATCAGTGCATTGTTATATTACTTGGAGGCTGGGTGAGCATACGATGGGCGCGTACTCGTCCATCTTCCCCAGGAACTCGCGCAATGTTGCATCCTTCTTGGCAGGTATCCGCGCTTCAAAGCTGGCGACTGGGTCTGCTGCGCCGTTCATCGCGGAAGGCTCTGTATCGTTTGCGCCGTCGAGATTCATGGCGTCGGCCTCGAGTTGTGTCGCGTCTTGCTTGATCTCCTCATCGACGGTACGGTCCAGCTCATCATTCACCTCCATGTTAGTATCGAGGGGCTGAGAGTTGTTTTCGGACATGATGATAGGATAGGTCTCACGTATTGCGACAAGGTGGATAGTATGACGTGTGGGGTTGAGTCGGGTTGCGGAGACGACACGGAGGTGAGAGAACGGCACGCCAAGCAATCAGGGAGCGGGAGGCGCGGTGCAGCCGGCCGGGGTGGTCGCAGCCTGACCATTCCACGACGTGTCTTGAATCTAATGATTTTTTACCTTCTGCATATTGCCTTCTGCAGCCGCTTAGAAGCAACGCGTGTTGAGGTGGTACTCTTGACATGAAAAATCCGAGCACCAAGCTCAGGCTGAGGAGCTATTGATGAAATTCTGGCTGGCCTTGCATTCACAGATTTCTTCAGATATGCCTAACGGTAGGGCAAACCTACTTCCAACCGCCTGATTTGATTGATCTCGCCATGCGCTCGAGACTCGGCCGCCGGCCGCCTTACCCAGCTATGACGATACCGGAGTCAAGTGAGGAATGGATGCACCTACAATCCACGAACTCTCTGCCATTTATAGACCCCTGGGAAGAATATATACCCCTGAGTGTATTGCGAGTTTGTGTTCATCACCTCCTCAGGATTGGAAGGTCCTCGATTCATGGTGGTGATGACCATATAACTCGGGTACGGAATAGAGCGCAGCTCTCTAATCACCTGATTGGACCGAGGCTTCTAGATATTCCTGACTGGGCGATGGCATACCTTGTTCATCGAGTGATTTGTGAGTTTGGGACGGAGAGGTTATCCGAGCAAGACCTGAGGGACATGAAAATTGTGTTCCAGGTAGAATGGAAGGATGTTCATTAGGAGGTATGGTGGTGGGCGAACAACGATGACAAGGAAAGAGCGAAGATGGCGAGGTGGTTCCGGCAAGCTGGGCTACCATTGCTCCAGTGACAATGGGTTGTCATTCACGTAGTTTAGCACAACACAAGGTCGATAAGTGAGATATTGTACGCCAATAACTACATGACAGCTGTGCGTAGTAATGGTTTTATGGTGCATGATTCAAGACGTACAAAAATATGTATAGATACGTGGCTCAATACATTCAACCCGGTCACGTGACCTAGTGTACATACTCAGGTACATAATCATGTTCGGTACTATGCAAGTTCCGAGGCTAGTAGAGCGGGCCGGAGCAAGGCACCGCGGATAAAGAAAAACAACAAAGGGTCGTCGGAGGTGCGTGTGGGGAAAATGCGGCGGATGCTGGCTGAGGCCATTGTTGCTTTTCGGTTGCAGTTCCGGCCGGGAGTTTTCAGCCTATCTATCGGAGGTACAGTACGACATTCGTATACTAGGTGTGTATTCCAAGGCGCATTCGGCAAGGGGCTGAAAATAGATTCAGGGCAAATGCCTTATTGGAGAGCCTTGGTGCCGGAAGCATAAAGCACATGATGTGACTAAGACCGGCGGGTTTAACGGAGAGGGTTTGTAGAGTCTAGTCGCAGAGGCTAGGTATGGTGGAGCCAGCTGGTGTTCGCAGTGTTGGGCGAGGCGGTTATGCCGACAGGCACGTGCAGTTGCAAGGACTCTCTATTTGGGAGTGCTGCAGCCCTCCCCAAAGGCAATGGGGTGAGGTGAGCACTATCAGCTCATGAGAGCTGGTGGAGCTCGGGTCAGGAGATGAGGTGGTGATACTCTAACATGGTGGGGTGTGTATGATAGATAGTAAGTAGTATGGTACTTAGTTGGGGACTAGTGGGCGCAAAGCACCATGGATGCAAGTAGCATCTGATGGCATAAAAGAAATGGCAGCGTGTACAGTATATCCGCTATGTATCCCAGACAAGTACTTAATAAGACGGCAGTGCTCTCGGCAATAGTGCAGAGGCTTAGTACAGACACAAATGGCCGCAATCCCGTTTTTCCGTACGGGGCCAGGATGGACGGATGGCGGACGCTCGTGCTGCCGCTAATTATGGGTGCACACGAAGAGCCCGAGATGCAAAGCCAATTGGGCCCCGGGTGGCAGCAGGCAATGGCAGAATTACTTATCAGGCAACGTACGTGCGCCAGGAGCACAGCACAGCAAGTCATACTATACCACATGGCATACGGCGCGGATAGGCAGGCAGCTGTCGATGCTGCGCGGCGCATACATGGTGTGCAGGTGTTTTCCCATGTTCACGCCTTGGTCTGGCTCCAAGGCGGGCGAGGGAGGAGGGGTCGAGATGCTCGCGAGACGTCATTGGCGTGCAGAGAGCGCGTCAAACTGCTGTGGCCGAAATTGCCAGGTAGCACGGCACTGCACCGCACGGCACCGCGCTGCACCGTAATGAGGGTGCAGGCTGATGGCAGCGCGGATGGCCGCTGACCTCGAGCTCATCAACTGGCAGGCCGACGAAAAGCCAAGGGCGAGCGAGGGTAAATGAATGCGCCGACAGGCAGGGAGCGTGGGCGTGAGCATGAGCATGAGGGTGAGCGTGGGCTGGCTGTCGGCTTCTTTTTTAGAGCACCAACTTGACTAGAGAAAAATTCGCGCTTCAAAGTGACCCTCTTCCTCCCACCTGCGCTTGCTCCGCCCGCACACACGACAATCAATTTTGTCTCTCGGCGCCCGGTCTGCCTTGACAACGTCGCATACGACCCTCAGACGCCGCCTCAGCCCGCTCCCTCGTCGTCGCCCTCCAGCCAGACTTGCCTGTGCCATCCGGCCCTCTCGTGTGGTGCCTGGCGTCCCTGCCTACTACCCACTGCCCACTACCCACTACCTACTTCGTCTGCTTCTCCCCACCCTCACTCTCTACTTCTACTTCTACCTCCACCGCCCACGCTCTCGAGACCACCGTCTGCCTCCCGCTCCATCTGCCCCTCATTCTTCACGTCCGCGCCCCGCTACGGACTCACAAACACACACAGTCGTCCCAGACTTTACCAAAGGTTAGTTTTGCGCATATCACTATCACATCCGCCGCATGCTTGCTACCTTCCTCTTCCGCGACCGGACTCCGTTTGCCAACCCCGCCCACTGTTTTTTTCTTCTGCTGTTTTCCTCCGTCATGTGCTCTGGCCTTTGACCAGTTGCTATTCGTGTGCTGCTTGCACTCTCTCTCTCTCTCCCCAGCCACTCGCGGTTCAAGCAGTCATCCTTCCGACCTGCTGTGCGCTTGCACACACCTACCACCACACACACACCCACGCTCGCCCGTCCGCCACACAACCCAGCGCACTGCTGCCCAAGGCGCTGCTCACTAATATCTCGTATCCCGCAATCCGTCATTGCCACTATACGATTCGACCAGGAAAAAAAAAACCGCTAACGCCAGTTACCACAGCGCGCACACCAACCGCCCCAGTCTTCAAGTCGTGCTCAGAAGCATTCACTTTCCCCGCTGCGTGTGTGATCGCCTCGGCTACGACCCAACGCCCACGGCCCCATATAGTCTTCTGCCCGTCGCAGGATTACTACTTGCCACCTTCGATCTATCGCCAACCCCAGTCTTGGTAGTAGCGAAAAAAGGTTGCGTGCGGGGAGGTCAAGACATACCTCTCCGGACATACCAGCACCCACACCTGCTGATCACCTCGCTGTAGCGCTCCCACCAGGGATTCTGAGCGCTCTCCTCGCCTTACCAGTCCGACTTTAGCCGAGACACAGACAGAAAATTCGCAATGGCATCGACGTTTTCATATGCGCAAGCCGCAAAAGGCATTTCCACGCCAACCAGCACGAGCAAGCCAGCATCCGGCTCTGCTACTCCAGCCAAAGACGCAAGCAGCGTCTCTGGCCCAGATGCTAACGCCTCACCAGCCAACTGGGCTGAAGACGTCGAGGCAGAGTCGCATTCCGAGCAGCCCCCAGTAGCCCGTGAGGCGCGCACAGAGCAGCCCGCTTCTGTTGTCCCAAAATCTTCACAGCCTGCAGATGCCTCGAATGTATCTTCACCAGACCTCGGCGCCTCGTCTTCGTCTACTGTGACCAAGGATGACGATGTTTCTTCGGTACCGAACACGGCTTCTGAGTCAACCACTTGGGACAACAAGTCTCAAGCCTCTACTTCAGTCGACAAGTCGGTCGAGCCGGTTGAAAAGACATCGGAGAAGGTCAAGAAGGGCAAGAATGCAGTCGCCAAGGCCCTTCATGAGGCACCCGTCCCGACCGTCAACCCATGGAAGATTCGAGCTGACGAGATGAAGTCAAAGGTGCAGAAAGCTGCTCCTTCACCTATTCTGAATGGTGCTTCGCCAGGGCCCAACGGAGTTGCTGCGAAGAAAGACTCGGCACCCCATGACAAGGCTGTCAACGGCGAGAGCAGAAATAGGAGCCGGAACGAAGGTGTTACAGGTCGAAAAGACTTCAAGGGCGATGCTGAGACTCGCAATGGTGCCAAGGGCAGGTTTTCGGACAAGGACACAAAATCGACGTCGAGTGTGCTCCCCCCACCGCCGCACCATGACCAGGAGTCATGGCCAACGCCAGATACCGCTATTGACGAGGAGCGTAAGAAGGCTCAAGAGAAGGGCGACAAGCCAGAGAAAGAACGCAAGGACGGCGCTCCTACTAGCAAGCAGGAATGGGTGAAAATCCCATACACTCCCTCTGTTGTGTTCAACACACCTTTGCCTAATGCTGCAAATGCGAGAAGGGGTGGTAGACCTGGAGGACGCGGTGCAGCGCAGACTGGTGGCAGACCTGCCGGCTTGAGCAATGGCGCTGAGCAGCTTGAGAAAGACGGCTCGGCACCAAACGGTGAACAAACCAAGGCTGCTACACACGACGCTTCTGTCAAGAATAAGCGCACTGGTAATGCAGCATCCCCGACTTTGAAGAACCAGCTCCCGACGGCCAACGGAGACGGCGCTGTAAAGGCTCATGGTAACGGAGCCACAGAGTCTGAAGCAAACGCAAAGGGCTCAACGCCGTCGTCCCAAGCACCGCACCAAAATGGCGCCTACCCCCGCCAGTATCCCAACAAGCCCCACAAGGGCAGGCGAGGCGATTTCCACGGTGCTGGAGAGCGCAGAAAGGATGGTACGTCGTCGCCCACCAAGGATGGTGTCTGGACTCCTGCTGGAACGCAGGCAGATGCTTCTGCAGATGGTGAACGTCGTGCGCCCGCTCAACAAGACGGCCCACACGGCCATTCGAAGCGTTTTAGTTCATTCTCCAGCGGGCGTGAACGTGGCCGTGGAGGAGGCCGCGGTGCTCGTGGCGGCTATGCAAACGGCCACCACTTCACCAACGGACATTCTTCGACAAGCTTTCCCTTGGGTCCAAGATCCCCTACGACTTTTGTACCTGAGAGCAACAGTTTCTTCCCAGCCTCCCAGGGCAAGTACGGTCGCAACAGCCACCGGTCGCAGTCACTCTCTACTGACCCCTACCGATTCCCGGGTTACCAGAATGGATATCCAGTCGCTCCCCTGCAGACATCTCATGACATGTATTCCTATGGCATGGTCCAGCCAATGAGCGCTGCTTCACCATACAGCCCATATGGGTTTGATCAGTCCTATCTCTTCTCATTGCTCACCACCCAAGTGTAAGTGTTCCTTGATCATCTCGTTTAACATTCACTGACAAGATACAAGGGAGTATTACTTTTCTGTTGATAACCTGCTCAAGGATATGTATCTGCGCCGCCACATGGACTCCCAGGGATTTGTTTCTCTCGAGTTCATTGCTGGTTTCAACCGGATCAAGCACTTGTCACCCGAACTTGAGCTGATCAAACTCGTCTGCCAGCAGTCCAAATCCATCGAGTACCGCACTGGTGAGGATGGTCAGGACCGCCTGCGTCGTAAGGACGGCTGGGCACAGTGGGTGCTTGACATGGCGGACCGTGACCCCTCGGCTCAGAATGAGGGCCCTAAGGAGCTCAAGCAGCCCCAGATCACACACCCCGCAGGCTTTGACCCCTCGAGCATTTCCCAGTGGCAAACAATGTCGCCCGGATTCCCTATGGCTCCTTACGGCACCGACGGTGCATACCCTCCGATGAATGGATTTCATCCTGTCGCTCAAGACGCTGGACTGGCGCCGGCAGAGACTGTAGTGAACGGCGCGCCTATGGAAGAGGCAAATGGTACCGCCATTTCGACCGGTCACCCAGTCGAGAGCTCAACAAAGGCTGTGAGTGCAGAACCTGATTTATTTTTTGACTGGCAACTTGACGGCTTGACTGTTATTGTTCGCAAGCAAGTTCAGAAGCAACAAGCATCGCCTGTTTTATTTCCACGAACATTTTCTAATGGATCCCTCGATAGTAAAAATGGCGCGGCGGGCGAACTGAATAAGTCGATCGCATGTCAATTCAAAGCCGAAGACGCTAGCTCTTTCAATGGGTAAGTCGGCGCCTCAATCGTCCCCGCAGCATCAATGCTAGCGGTTTCCGCATCCTCTATATTTACCCAATTCGCTCAAACACTGCAAAGCATCGAGCTCGGCATCCTGCCCTTGACGTTACCATTCGCTAGAAAATTGTGCCTGAGGTTAAAGCTAATGTCCACAGTAGTAGTGTCGACCAATGCTCACTCCAATCGACTTCTTCTTCAGTTCGGCTTTATTGGGTCAAGGACCAAGACCACCCAGTCCATTCCATTCCTTCTGGTTCCTCGCATGAGTCGTATTATCATCTTCGGTCAAAGGCTCACCGCAAGCGCTCACGAGCCTCTTTTGGCACCACTCCTTACGATATGAACGTTCTTTACCAATTCTGGTCACATTTCCTGATTCGGAATTTCAACCAATCAATGTACGATGAATTCCACTATCTGGCTTTTGAAGATGCCGCCTGCAGGGGTACGGATGTCGGAATCTCGAATTTGATCAAGTTTTACGGCAAGTCTTTACTGTCGCCTTACGAAGCAATCCGGTGGCAAGCAGCTTCTGACTACGTCGATCTGATCAAGTCCGAGGACGGATGTCGTGCTTTCGACCAATTACAATTGGCCGTCCGCAACGGTGGCATCGATCCGGAGAGTTGGGAGCGCATCAGAGACTTGCTTGATGCTGAGGCATTGGCTCGATTGGCATCATGATTGTTTGGTTGTATCTGATTACCTCTACAAGGTCATGCAGAACGAGCAAGGGATGATGTTTCTCTACGCTTGCTCCTCAAGCTGTGGTCTCGTTGCTTCCAATTGTCCATGCGAATTCTCGGGTTCTTTTATACATTAACAAAAAGTTCATGTTCTGGCGTTTTCATACGGTAGGCGGTCCGTCACATGTTTTCCGATAGACCCCTTTTGCACACAGTTTTTGGCTTCCCTTAATGTTCACACGATTATTTTCCAGCACGATACGAAATACCCTTCAACGGATCTGGTTCGCCCTCTTCTTCTGGATCTACGGGCTTTGTACGGAGGCTCTAAAGCATTGAAAGCTGGCGTACTGTGTGGTTGTTTTTCTTGCATTTCATCAGCCCCGCATACAAGCCCCAGAAGGCGTGTTTCTCCCCTCTGACATCGCGGCACCGATCTCTTTCATTTCCTTATGCGCGGATGCGGGTTCCCAAGCTCCATCACCCCCTAGAGCAAATCTTGTAAAAGGTGGTTTGCGAGGCCCTGATGAGTAGGCTTCTGCTTTGTAAAAGTATGAAATGGAAAATTTTAGCCCAGTTGTTGTCTTACGTGTGCAGAAAAATGAGATATCCCAGTTCCTCGGGCGCATCTAATGTTCCGCAGGTAAGATATAGGGGTGCAATGGCTGTTGCCTGTTGTTGGCTATTCGGGCCCTTGAAGTACCCGATCGTAAAGCTGCACCAGGTTCCCATGACTTACTCAAGACCCCTGGACATGAGGCCAAAATGCGTTACTGGTAGTGTTCTCTGGTAGAGAATAGGTCTTGTTGAAGGACGACTATCGGAGCTGTTTGTGCTGTTTCAAAAGGTATTTATACCAGTGGATAGTAGATTATCATAGATTATTTGGGAAGATGACGAGTCAACAAGTGAGGTGGCATGTGACCATCGTCATGGCGGCTCGGCGTTTCAGACGATCAGCCCCGATGGCGGTGGCGACATTTGCCCTGCGCCTCATTAACGTTGTCTTCCCCACACTTCAGGGACTCAACACCCTCTCCCCTCTTGGTAACACAAACACACGATGGCACCGGCCGCGGTGCATCTGCATAGACTGGTGGTCAAGAACGCGAAAGCGTTCAAGTAAGTTTGTCCTCATCTTACTAGGCAACCATATACTGACAACAGTTACAAGGGCCGCCTGGAAACATGCAGCGAAACTCGTACAGAAACAGTTACCTGAATCCGCACGACCTGCAGATGCAGTTCTTCAACCTATACTCGCTCGAAACGCTCCAAAGCATCCTCTTCACCGTATTGCCTACCTCAAGCAGAGCAAGGGCCGATGGTACACTACCCATAGCCTTATCGGCGCCGCCGTTAGACGGTTCACTACTTCGGCTGCACGCAATTCGGGAGTGAAGTATGACAAGGCTTCGTTCCCGAAGTCCCGTATCGGGAGTATCGCCATGGCACAGGCTGGCCGTGCCCCCTTTGCGTCTACCCTTCGCCCTAACCTCACGGGTGGTGCCTTGGGACGAACCGCGGGTGGTTATGGATGGGGCTCCGGCAGGACCGGAGGCGCTCGATACTTCTCGCATGGTCCTGCCACGCCTGCTCAGGTCATCAACAATGTCTCTCAAGCTGTGCGCGCCTTCCTTCTCGGTGGACAAAAGGCCCAGTTTGACGGGGTAAATCCCCACAATGGCGAGAAGCGGTTCAAGACTGTCTCGGCACTCCAAGATCAAGTCAACCGCACTTTGAACAAGGTTCCCAAGACTAACCCTGGCTCTTACATCAGCTTCAACATCAACCCTACCGTCACTGCTCTTACTCCCCTCAAGGCTGTCAAGGGCTTCGCCACTTTCGCTCAGGAGAAGGAGACCCTTAACACTGAGGGTCTCTTGGACACTCTCTCTGTCGATTTCTCGCGTGCGGTCAAAGAGTTGGCTGCAGTCTTGAAAGACTTACAACTGTTAGCTGCACTGGGAGATTTACCTATAACGTACGAAGACTCGGCGCTGAAGGTTCATTTTCCCGGCTGTGACGCGCAAACTGTCGAAACGATGTGCAACGACTTTGGGGTCTCGCGGGGCGTAGTCCACGAAGACGAAAGCTTCAACACGTTTGTAGGATCTGACGTGGCTTTGCTCTTCCCATTCGCGCCGAGCCAGACACCTTCAGAATGCTCCTTCTACCAGAAACCTGTTGCCGACCGCCAGCACATACAACCTAACATCGATTGGGCAAATATGCTTTCACCATCTGTAACAGATTCAGAAGGCTTTGCCACACCATCGGAGCATAGCTACGACCAACTGGACGACTTTATGACTGAGCCCAATCCATGGCTATCAGTCTCATCGCCTTCCGGGTACGAGAGCTTGCACACGAGTGAAGCCGAGGAGATGAACCTAGAAGCAAGCATGGAGTTTCCAGAAAGATACACGCCGCTTTGCGAGGTGAGATAGACGTTTGTCGAAGGACAGGCGGTGAACGACTGATGACATCTATATTTTTTTTGGCTTAGACTGCTGACATGGGCATTGACACCCACCTACCTGCTTTCCTTTGTACCTGATAAAGCTCAAATACCTACAATCAATACAAACACATTTTTCATTATTTCAATGACTGAACCCATATTCTACTACTGTCACAATTTTATAGGTCAATGTATGAGCTCGACAACAAAAGTCTCCAGCTAAGAACAAAGGCCATAATAGGGCGGAAGCGTGACATGCACATGTACATGCAAACGACCCGGAAGCCCAGTCCCGGATATGCGGTGCTAGCAGCAGTTGCCGGGGTGTGTGTGTTTTATTCCCGGATAATAACGTAACCGAAAACGGCCGGTGGCTTCTCCACTTTTTTACTGTATACAGGTAGGTTATGCAGAAACGGGATTTGGAAAAAGGAAGGCCGGTGCCATGTGCGATGACTCGATTGCCTTTTGCCGTACCGTCATCATGAAAAGCTACTTCCTTCCTTGCTTCTTTTTTCTTATTCTTTCCTCTAGCCTAGGTTTCTGAGAGAGAGAGAGAGCGGTGTTAATTGAGCAGCACTCAGTCGAATAATCATCGGTGTAATAAGGGAAGTTTTTTTTTTCGTTTTCGGGACGAATCTTTGCTGCAAGGGTCGATTACCTTATTTCCGGGGGCCGAGGCATAGGGGGAATAAAACGGGTTTGAAGGACGAGGGTAGGGCAACGAAGGAAAGAGAATAGAGAGAAAGAGAAAAGGGAATTTGAAAGGGGGAGAGATGGAGGAAAAGAGCTGGAGTGATGATGTTGGGGAGTCGGGAGTCGAAATCCATATCAACAACGGTGGTATCACTGCACTACCAAACGGGATGCTGGAAAAGCCACAAGAAGAAGAAGAAGCCAACAAGGCATTGCAATTGCAAGCACAGAAAACAAAAGATGACGAACCTCCCAACGGCGGCTACGGCTGGATCTGCGTGGCTGCCATCGCCACCCTAAACGGACATACCTGGGGCCTCAACTCGTCCTACGGCGTCTTCCTCGCCCACTACCTCTCGCACAATGTCTTCCCCGGCGCCACGCCCTTGCAATACGCCTTCGTTGGTGGCCTCTCCATTTCACAGGCTCTCATCGTTTCCCCCGTTGCCACCTTAACTACACGCTGCTTCGGCACACGAACCACTTTACTCATAGGTGTGGCGTTGGAAACGGCCTCGTTTATCGGCGCGAGCTTCGCGTCGCGGATCTGGCATTTGTTCCTCACGCAGGGGATTTGCTTTGGGTGGGGGATTGGGTTTCTATTTGTTGGGTCCGTGGGGATTACGCCGCAGTGGTTTACTACGCGGAGGTCGCTTGCGAATGGGTGTTCTGCGGCGGGATCTGGACTTGGTGGTTTGGTGTACTCGCTTGCTGCCCAGTCGATGATTCGGAGGATAGGCTTGCCTTGGGCGTTTCGTACGCTGGGACTTGTGGCGTTTGTGGCGAATACGGTTTGTGCTTTGTTGATTCGCGATCGGAACAAAGCGATTGGGAGTCGGCAGATTGGGTTTGATTATCGGCTTTTCCGCAAGGCGCAGTTTGGCGGGTTGTTGGGATTTGGGTTTTTGTCGATGCTGGGGTATGTAGTGCTGTTGTTTTCGCTGCCGAATTATGCGAGGACGGTGGGGTTGAGTGCGCAGCAGGGAAGTGTTATTGGGGCTATATTCAACTTGGGGCAGGCGATTGGGAGACCACCGATTGGGTATTTTTCGGATTCCATTGGGAGATTGAATATGGCGAGTAGCATGACGTTTCTGAGTGGGCTGTTTTGTCTGGTCATATTGATGTTTGCAAAGAGCTTTGGTGTACTCGTCTTTTACAGTCTGGTGGGTGGAATGGTAGCGGGGACATATTGGGCTGTGGCTGGTCCTATCACGACGGAAGTTATGGGTTTGAAGGATCTGCCGAGTGCGTTGAGTATCACTTGGTTGGTACTGGTCTTGCCTACTACCTGTACGTCTGCTCCTTTCTTTCCAAGGGAAACTTGACTAATGATGATGGGTAGTCTCTGAAGCCATTGGCCTGGAAATTGTCAAGTTCAATGGTGGCTCTTATACCGGTGCCATCATGTTTACTGGGTGGATGTATATCGGTGCGGCCGTCTTCTTGTGGCTGGTGCGAGCGTGGAAGATTGGCGAGGACGAAGAGCTGGCGGCTGGGGCTGAGAAGAATGATGATGGCTCTGCAGCTGGCGTCGGGACTGCGAATGGAAAAAGTCCTTTTATGACGAGGATGTTCATGATTAAGAAGGCCTGATCAAGCTGGGACGTAGAACATAGAGGGCATGCATGTATGTATTTCCATAGTTGACCCGGCGTGGGCAAAGCTTATTTTCCTCTTTCATGCGGACTTGGATGTTCACATTGTACAGGTGGTGAGTTGGGAGGGAACAGGAGCCCGCACTTGATACGTGGGAATCTGCAAAAAGTGCTTTTGTGTCTGAGCATGTTCCAAAGGAGGTCGAAGGTTTAAGCGCCAAGGCCTTCAGCGCCCAAACGATACTTCGGTTGCAAAAAAGCAAATCCGTAGTACTAAGGACGCGAGTCTTTGGTAGCACCGTCAGCGGCCCAGGTATCCTTGCATGGCAATACTAGCTCCCGTCGCCGTCTTACCACTAGCCGGGTCCCCTATTTGAGCGCCCATTAAAGGATGCGGGTTGTGGCTGAAGAGAAGCTCGAGACAGTCGCTAGAATCAATGGTCAGACGGTGTATCTGGTGGTGCCGATGGCGAAGAAAAAAGTGAAGCGACTGGAGGGGTCGAGGTTGAGGTTGGAGCCCAGTGCCCAGTGCCCAGTCGTTCGCTCCCATATGCCCGCTGACGCACATCAGTCATGTCATTCGGGCACGTGATTGGCCGCAATAGTGCAAAGTCCCAAAGTCCCCTGCTGCTGGGACACGTCTAATTGTCCTAGTGGCCACGGGATGACCTCAAGACGCGTCGTGACTTTTTTATTGCTGGGTTGTGGGTCGGGTCGGGACGGCTTCTATCCAAGTCGGTATGTTTGTGTTTGTACGTACTGTGTAGTAGTCAGTATATCGCCATGTACCTACTTGGGTGTTTGCATGAACCCAGCCGGTGTTGCCGACACCTTCAGCAGCGCGCATTTCTGCTAATTACCGGGCGCAATATAAGTATAGAATGGCACGGACGAGGCTTTGCAGGCGTCGGGGCGCGTTCATCACATGTGGGTTGGGTTGGGCGGAGCGCCCATTGGCCCCTGATGCGACTGTGCCAACTGGCACTCCGCCCGCTAACTCGAGCCTGGCCTTAGTCTCGTCGCTCTCCTGTCCTCGTCTGTCCGTGTCCGCACTTTCGTCGACGACGAACTTTGGCACGCCTTCGACTGCCATTCTTCTTCTTCTTCATCCGTCGTCTGCCTGCTGCCACGGGATGTTCTCTTCTCCTGTCGTCTCCAGACCCGCTCTTGCCCACCTCATGTCGTTCTTTTAGCTTCTTTGCTCCGTCTCCCTTTCCTTGTTCCATATACCTAATCATACTGCCTCCACTCCGCCTTCGCCCCTCCTGCGCTCGAGACTCTCTCCGGTACGCGTTCCTCTGCCCCGAGCAATCGACTACCGCCCCATAGAGCACTTGGGCCCATTGTTTCAACGCGTTTGGCTTTCGGGGAGAAAAGACGAAGAAAATCAAACCCAAAAAAATAGCAGCAGTGGCAGCTCGCTCGAGTTGCGGGAACGCCTTGGAGTGAGAGATCCTTGAATGCAAGCTAGACGGACGCCCTCCCCTTCGCTGCCGCCGCCCTCCTCTCCCCCAACAGCTCCCCACTACCTAGGCGAGCCCTCGACTCCGTCCGACGATCGTGAACCAGTCTCGCCGACTTGGACTGCCCCATCCCCGTCTCGCACGCTAGGGCATTCGAGCCCAGAGCTGCCTCTCCTTCCCTCCTTCTCCGTACTAGGCAATCCCCCCCGCACACCATCCACCGCTGCGAGGCGCGAGCGAACCGACACTTCGTACTACACGGCAAGCTGGGGCAGTCCGTACCGACACCCTCCGCCAACCTTCGACCTTGGCCGTCAAGTCTCGGCTAATTTTGGCAGCGACGACTTTGACGAGGAACCCTCTGGTCTCCAGTTTGGCCTTGACCATCTGCTCCCGTCGCGACTAGATCTCGAGGCCGACTCGCCCAACAGGTTCAACCTCGAGCATCTCATCCCCTCTTTGGACCGCAACGTATCGCCGAACCGCTTTACGCTCGAGCATCTAATTCGATCTCGCCTGCCCAGCCTCGACCCTCTGACAAGAGAAGAACGGGAATCTGGCAGCACTCCTCGACCATCTGATTCGAACCCTACATCGGAAGAGTGGGTTCAACGGTTTCTCGAGGAGCGTTGGAATCGCGAGACAAACGACTGGCGGAGCAACGACAGTGATACCGAAGGATCAGCGGGCGATCAGGACATACCATTCGTCCCCCCACCGAAGCGAGGCCACCAAGCCAGAAACAAAAACAAGACACTGAACCAGCAGGACTTCTGGCGCCACTTTAGCAAGGACCAGAAGGAAGCACTGGGCAAGATGATGGCCTCCAAATACGCGGAACCTGAGCCCGCGGGTTCCCAAAGGCAAACTTCAGGCTCCCAGACAAATGGACACAGCGTATCGGGCGAGAAGACGCCGATTCCAACACCTTCAAAAGCAACCCAGCCAGCGAATGAGACCCCTGCCAAGATGGGCAATGGTGATACCGCAAAGCTGCCAGACCAGGAATCGTCGACAAGCAGGCCAACCTCCAGCACCCAGGCAAGCTCATTCCTTGCTCCCCCAAATACTGCGCCTGCGCATCCGAGAATGCGTAAGAAGGTGATTGTGAAAGGAAAGGGTTGCATCATCTCTATACCGCGCGATATTCCTAGAGGCAACCCAGGCTATCCTCCTAAGCCAATGAGTGAAGAAACCGTCAACGCGAAGCTTAGGCAACTCGAGCAGCAAGGCTACGATATCCGGGGCTTCAGCACCGGCGGCCAGGAGACACATAACAGAGCCATCTGGCCAATAGAAGCTGATGTACAAGCAGAGCGTGCCAATTCGGGTTCGAAATTCAAAGTACGCGTATCTAAGGAATCGGAATGGAAAGACTACCAGAACTCTTTGCTCGAGGCAAAGCTTGCAGCACTCGGTGTCAGCATGGGCGGCGAGGAAGACATAGCTCTTCCTCTTTCACGCCAGACATCCTCGCAACAACATCCAGGAACGGTCTTCTCTCCACCTCTGCCTACCTCATCTGCTGGTAGCGCCCGCATGGCTAGGCCTGGCAGCATCGCATCAATTGGGTTCCCATACGTCCCGTCTCCTGGACACATGTCACGGCAGTCGATTGCTTCTCCTGCGGCTTTTGGAAACCCTCGTGCAAACATGCATATGCATCGTCATTCCACTTTTGGGTCGCCTGCCAACTTCGCTCAACATGGTTATTCACCTTCGGGTACATGGTCACCAAGTGGTTACTTCAATGCTCAGGATGGTCGCACCGCATCTCCTGCTCTTGCAATGAACCGTCCAGATCTGGCTGAGCTCATCTCGCCCCGCTCGCCATTTGGTATGGGCCAGCAGATGCCTATCACACCAACGCAGAGACACGATTTCCAGCTACAGATGCAAATGCAGCAGCAGCAACTTCAGGCCCAGCTTCTTCAACAACAACAGCAGCAGCAGCAGCAACAAGTCCTTAGTATGCGACCCGCATCCACGCTTGCTGAAGTACCTGAGGACGAGGATGAGGAAGACGAAGTACCGCCCATGAAGCACGCCACTCAAACCAAGACTGAGATTGCTGTACCCACTCCCCGGGGCCATCGTCACAACATTAGCGAGAACCTGGAACGCGAGGCAGCTAACGAAGAGTATCACTTGGAAGAGGCCATTGATAAGCAGTTTGCCGAAGGTGGAGACTTTAGTACGGAGCCAGAGACTAATGTCCCATTGAAGCATTCCAATGCTGTGGCCAAACCCAAGTGGGAGGAATCTCGACCAATCTTGCACCAGCCTCAGCCACACAGCAGGACTCACTCGCTCGCACAATCGCAAAACCCCGTCTCCTTTTCGTTCCCAGCACAACAGACACCTGCTTCCGACAGCGACGGCGCGCGTACGAACCTTTCAGAAAACACCAATCCCAGTTTGGAAGATGGAGAGGTCCGCAGCGCCGACCAGGGCTCTGTGCAGCATTCCAAGGCGCCCTCGCAAGTCAGCAATTCTTGGAAAGACAACAAGTTCGCCTTCAACAAGCCTGCATCCTCCACGCACAGCAAGCATACCTCGCGCTCTTCCATTTCGAAGCTCAATGTCGAAGCCAAGGAGTTCAAGTTCAACCCGGCAGCGTCCTTCAGCCCTGGATCTTTCTCGTCCGGCTTCAGCTTCGCACCTGCCGTCAAGCCACCTGCGGAGCAAAGTGTCCATCAGACAAACAAGACGAGCATGGACGGAATGGCCAACTTCAATGCCTCTGTGCCCGCGTTCAAGCCAGAGGCACCCACGTTCAAGCCAGACGCCCCTGCGTTCAAGCCTACTTCAAATGGCTTCGACTTCTCAAGTCCGCCATCATTCAAGCCCGATGCGCCTGTATTCAGTCCTGGAGGGTCGACATTTGATCCCAACAAGACCGCTCCTGCACCAACGAGCTTCTCCTCCAAGATCTTTGGAGATGTCAACATCTCTGCTAATGATATCATCAAGCCAGCTACCCGCTCCAAGGCTGTTCCTATTGTCAGGCCGGATAACACGCGTCAGCCAACGCCCAAAGAGCAGGAAGACCGTATGGATGAAGCTGGCCGGCCCATGCAAGCTGATGGTCGCGAGAAACGTGTGCGTCGTGATCGCGCTGACGGTGACGACGTGCCCAAGTTTGCTCTTCAGCCAATCCTCGCCTCGCAGCCTTTGGCGGAAGTCAAGGAGCCGAATGCTATCACTGTGGATGCCAAGGTTACACGCGAGAGCCCTGCTGAAGACAAGGAGAACCGCTCGCCCGACAGCAAGCAGGCTAAGATCAAGTCAAAGACTCCGTCACCGCAGCCCCAACAGCAGGATACAAGGCCATTTGAGCCCATTTCCCCTGCTCCTGGAAGTGAGCAAGGCGCAGACGAGGAGACACATGCTAGTGACATACCCACTCCCACCACTGAGGAACCCGAACCAACGACCAAGAAACATAGCCACAAGAGCACTCTCTCCGCCAATGCCAAACCGTTCGAGTTCAAGCCCCAGTTCAGCAACGCTGGCTACGATTTTGGTTTCCACGTTACAAAGCCTTCTCAAGCCGAGGAACCTGCGAAGGCTCGGCTATCGCCTGCAAGGATTACTAGCAGGAGCCCAGCAACTACTTACCGACCCAGCGATGACGGTTCATTCAAGACGGCCATGGAGTCTGGCAGACAGACCCGTTACCGTGAGAACGAGAGCGTTGATTTCGATAATATCGGCGAGGCTTCGTTTAACGACATTGATGCAGTCATGAAGCATATGGACGGAGAGGGCTCGGACTTTGGCGTCGAGCGTGATGAGACATCTTGGGATCACTCCTCTCCCCAGAGGACGCCACACGTGTTTGAGCGCCACGACCTGCAGCCAAACTTCAAGCTGCGTAGTGACGCACCTAGCCCCAGCCCCCGCCGGGGATTCATTCCCGGTCCCGCAGCATCAACGCTGGATCCGTTTGACAGTGAGAGGGCTGCGCTTTCGTACCAGTCTCCTGTGCGTGAGGTGAACAACGTTGATGACGGACATCTCAGCGACTGGGATGATGATGGCCTGTTGAGCGAGGACGAGAACAAGGTCCAGACGCGCAGTGGCTTCTTCGACAAACACGTTGATGAGCTTATGGGTCGTCTCCTGCAAGACCGTCTTAGCCCGCTGCAGCAAAACTTGCAAGGCATCCAGCAAGCACTTGTAGCCATGACACAACGCACGCGACGTGGGCGTCGCAGCATGTCTACCAGCGAACGTCTGGACAGCGATGCAGATGATGAAGACGATGAGATTGGTACTGAGGCAGACTACCGCAACAGATCTCGAGGCAAAGACAAGAAGCTGGAGAAGATCAGGTCGATCGTCATGGACGCACTTGAGGTGCACCAATCACAGATCACATCGTTGCCGGTGCCGGTACCAGTAGCGGAACCAATCATCCCTGAGAAAATCAGGGACATTGTCACCGATGTCATCACACAACACCAGCCACCTGTGCAACACGTCGAACCTATTTCTGTTGACCAGATTCGCGCTATTGTTCAGGATGCCATCGCTTCGAGCAAGGCAGCACCAGAGTATCCCACCGAGACTCTCAAGGCCGAAGACGTCCGATCCATTCTTGCCGACATGCTCGCGTCTCATGCTCCTCAGCCTGTGAGGCCTGACGACATCAGGTCGATTGTTATGGAGGCGTTCGAGACTCACGCTCCTCAGCCATTGCCGGCACCAGTTCCTGAGCAAATCTGGCCAGATGACCTCAAGGCCATTGTCGCAGAAGCGATTGCGTCTTCTCACACCCCGCCTCCGCCGGCACACACTGCGGATTCTGTCCAGCCGGACTTGATCCGCTCCATCGTAACCGAAGCATTGGCATCTCAGAAGCCTGCCGCCACTCTAGAGGCACCTGTCAATATTCCCCAGCCATCGCTTGAAATGTCTGAGATGTACCAGATTATTGGTAGCCTCAAGGCTTCTATTGCGCAGACCACCAGTCATCACCTGCAAGCTGAAGACGTTCGTGAGCTCATCGACGATGCTTTCAAGCGTCAGAACATGGAGACTGCGAAGCTCGAGGAGTCCAAAGCTATCCAAGAGAGGGATGCACGCATCGCCGACCTCGAGGACATGCTCAAGGAGGCTACTCTTCGCTTTGATACCGAGGCCGAAGCGCGCAAGGCTCTTGAGGCCCGTGAAGTCGACTCTGCTCGCCTTCTCAAGGTTACTGAGGAAGAGCTTACCCTTCTCCAGCAAGCCGCTCGTGACGATGAGAGGAAGATTCGTTCTCTGACAGAGGAACGTGATGATCTTCGCCGTAGTTTCGATACTCTCAAGAGTAACGAAGATGTATTCCGTGACAGGATTTCCACACTTGACGGCGAGAATGAGCGGCTCAAGCTTACAAATATTGCTTTGGAAAGCTCTGAAGAGGACCTTAAGAAGAAGCTGGATTCTGTTACCGCTGAGAACGAGGCACTGACATTTACACTGGAAGAGCACCGCCTCTCTGCCAATAAGTGGCGTGGCGACCTCCAGGTAGCCCACGAGGAAGCAGAGCAGCTCCGCAAGGCCATCGGCGAGTCACGTTTCCAGGCCGAAGAGGCTACTCGTGTCCGTGAGTCTATGCGTGTCAAGTTTGAGAAACTCCAGCAAGATATGGTTGCTGCCTCCCAGCAGGTTGCAGCTGAACGCGCTCAATGGCAGAAGAACGAGGAGGCATCTGCAAGCAAGTACGAGGTCCTTAGCGCACGTATTGAGGCTGAAGGTCGCACACGCGAGCGTCTTGAGAGAGAGCTCGAGCGCCTTGAGACTCAGGAGCGTGAGGGTATGAAGCTCAGGTTCCACCTCGAACAAACCCAGAAGCACAACTCCAGGCTAGAGGAGACTATCCAACAGCTGAGGAAGGAGACTGTGGAGCACCAGAGGAACGCTGAGCGCTACGAGCGCGACATGCGTGAAGCGAGGGACGCTGCTCACGTTGAGATCCGCCGCACCCGTGTGCTCATGGAGGCCGATATCGATGCCGCCAACAACCAGGTCAACATTGTTCGCCACGAGCTCGAGAGCGAAATCAACCGTGTCCGTGCCGAGCTGGACCAAGTTCGCATGGACGCAGATACTGCCAAGGAGAAGCACGAGCTTGACTTGGAGGCAGCCTCTGATGCCAAGAAGCAAGCGGTTCAAGAAGCGATCGAGAAGCAGAAACTCAGCATGCAAGAACAGCAGCGTGCGTTTGAGCGTCAACTTGCGCACGTCAAGCACGAGCATGCTCGTGCTCTCGAGTTTGCACGTGAAGACAAGGATCGCGCTGAGGCCTTCCACAATGACAAGCTTGCTTTGGCTGACTCCAAGCTCGACCACTTCAAGGACAAGATCTCCCTGTTGGAAGAGAAGCTACAGGTTGCAAAGGAAGCTGCCAATGCTGCGGTTGCCGCTGCTTCCAAGTCACCAACCTCTTCTTCCTTTGGTCTAAGCAGCTCTGACAAGATTTCCACCCAAGCACTGCGCGAATCCATTGCTGTTCTACAAGAGCAATTGCAAGAGCGTGAGGGACGTATCGAGTCGCTTGAGCAGCAACTCGAAGAGGTTGATACTGAGGCACCAGCCAAGCTCAAGGAGCGCGAGACCGAGATCAACTGGCTACGTGAGCTCCTCGGTGTACGTGTGGATGATCTGAACGACCTGATCACCGCTTTGGCTCAGCCAACTTTCGATCGTGAGACTGTTCGTGACGCCGCAATTCGCATCCGCACAAACTTGCAGATGGAGCAGTCAGAGAAGGAGCGCCTCATTTCTGGTGGACAGCAGTCCTTCCCCACGCTCAGCACGTTGTCCAACTTTGCCTCACCCAAGGCAGTCCAGCTTGCTGCTGCCATTGGCAACTGGCGCAAAGGCCGTGGAGAGGCTACCTCCGCCCTTGCGGGAAAGTCTACCACCGCACAACGCACCCAAACACCATCGCGGCCCCAATCTCACTCCGCACAGTCCTTTCTCTCCGGCCTCATGACGCCGCCAACCTCCAACATGCGCCGTAACCTCGAAGTTCCTTCCGCTTCTCAGCGCCCACAAGACGCCCGCTCGAACTCGATGAGCTCGCACGCGTCGACTGAAGTTGGTTTCCCTGTTCTTGGAAAGCAGCCCCGCACACCACCTCTAATGAGGAAGCAGGCTTATGACCAAGACGCGGACATGGAGCCATGGAGCGAGAGTGGCTTCTACGAAGACGAAAGCGCCATTGAAGAAGGTGAACTCACGCCTTTGGCGCTCAACTTTGGAAGGGAACTCAGGCAATGAGCCTGTCCCCAACCTGATTCAAACTGAGCAAACCTTATCATTTCCTTTGTCAAATTTCCTTTCCCCTGTTTTAGCTCGTAAGAGCGTCCAATCCTTTCTTTACGTATACTTTTGGTTCTCAATTTTCCTTGTGCGTGTGCGCAGGAAGAAAGACTGCTGCCATCTATCTCATGTACCTAATGCTTGCTTTTATGCGATTTTCCTATGATCACACCATCTTCTTTTTTTATCGAAAGGCTGGATATTAGAGAGAGAGATATACCCCTCAAGACTGCCCCAGATTTCCTTCATTTCCCTCCAACCCTTTGTTTTTCTTGTAATAGCAAATTGTAAGCACGCCCCATTCTTCTACTTTCTTAGTTTCCTATGTTTCTGTAGGAGGAGTCTAGGGATCATGGTAACGGTGCAGAATGGACCGATCACGGTCTCACTAGATTTACTTAGGGAGTAGGCGTCAGAAATTGAACACCCAATCTTTCTTTATTACATACTAAATGCTTGAATCTGTGAAGGTGGTGTGAGACTTGGGGCCTGTTGAAAGACTTCAAGAGGGTTTATGATCCAGACTGATATGGTGGTGGACATAGACTATGCGGAAATCTCATGAGAACCTTTCGCTTTGATAATGAAACATTTTTAGAAAAGAATGATCCTTGAAAGTACATGTATGAAGTGAAATTATCCCTTTTGATTTTCTTACAAGCATGCCCCAAATTTCATCATGCCGCATTCCTTCCCTCCTCCTCCTTCTCCTCCAACATCCGCGCCTGACCTAATCCACAAGTCCTGCACAAATGAACCCCGAACCCCGAACATGTCATACCCTCACGTCCACAACCACTTCCTACACTTCTCCGTCCCACAAAGACACGGAATCGCGTCGTCGCCCGGCTCATCCATCTCATCCATCTCATCCCCCTCATCCTTATCTAGATAGTCAAACGTAAGCTCCTCTCCCCTCGGAATAAACCTGCACGCAAAGAATGCAATGTCGTAAATCCTAACATCGTGCCGATTATAACTAACCGTATACTGGCGACAGTTCGGGTCGCAAGAATGATTGATGAATTTTGTCGGACCCCCCATGAACTCTCCGTCGACAACATATAAGTCTTTGTCCTCTAGGCCCTCTGATTCCTTGAACTTGTCTAAGGAGTAAAGGTAGGATGCTTTTGCTTTGGATGACGAGTTTTCGCGACGCGTAGCTTCAGCGTCGGTGATGATTTCACCGCGATACGTATCGATGAACTGGCCCTTATGCAAGTCCTCGGTGCAACGCAGACCCCATCCGCGACCGTCTGCCGCACGGAAGATTTCGACTTCAACTTGCCGACCAAACTGCACGTTTTTGTTGCGGCAGTAGCGACCACAGGCGCACTTGTCGTTGCATTCGTAGACAGGGTTGCGTGAGTCGAGGTAGAAGGGGACGAGGCAGCCTGTACGCTCGCGTTTGGTGCCCGCGGCGTAGTATGGGAATTTTTTGGGAAGTCCCATTGTTGAGAGGCCGTTGGCGAGGGCATGTTGGTACTCGGTCATTTGGGTCTGGGACAGCTTCGATTCGTTGACCGCAGCGTACTCGAGGCAATCACATTTCTGTGTGTATTCACAACCTATGTCGCGGCCCATGTGCGGGGAGCAGGACTGGCAGCCTGTTTGCGTCTCGGGGGGTGCGCGGATAACGCCTGGGCGAAGGATGTAGTCTGAGACGTAACGGAAGCGGAGGGAGGGGGTGGAGGAATCTATGAGGTTGACTAGTTTTATGGGTTTGCTGTCTTTGCCGGTTACCTTAGAGAGTCGTTGGACATACTCGTTGCGGATGTATGCTAGTGCTTTGTCGACACTAGATCTTTGTGCGGTTTGCTTCATTTCTGATGTTGGGACGCTGTGGATGTCAAGGTGTAGTACATCTGTCCCTGTAGACGGACGACAGAAGATATAGCCATGCTCGTCGGTATCTATCACCCCGTTGTAAACATCAGGTGGAGATGAATGTGGAGGTGGAGGTGTTGCTGTCGGAGACGGAGAGAAAGACGGCGTCTGGGATCCATGGTGTGCTTGGTAAAGGTAAGGATCAAACGGCGAAGATCGGCGTTCATCCTCCAGGCCACTGTCTGGTGTTTTACGCTTCTTTACTGTAGGTTGCACTTGTTCAAGTGATTCCATAGACCTGAGGGGTGACATTAGAGACGTTTTTTCACATAACTAGGCTGTACTGCATACTTCTCTCTCACTTCGAGATAATCTTGCACATGTTCGAGACATCGTAAGAGTTCTTTGATCGAATGCCAGCTCAGCGGTGCTTGATCTGATGCATCATCGGTGTTCCACCGGACTAGGTATTGTTCGTCCTAGATGTACCCTGTCAGCCAGTTGCGCATAAACCATCTAGGACAAAACACTTACATCCCTTTGCACGCGATTTGAGACTATCGAGTGAACCTAGTAATAATAGACTTATTAGTATGTGTCAGGAAACTGGTGTTGGTGTGCTTACGTGATCGACGAGGACGCGCCGCCTCGTATAGCCATTTGATGGTATAACGACCATGGGCGGCATTCCAGTAGTGAAACTACATCGCGTTAGACCTCTCTAGATACGCAGGGGTTGTTTCTAGCATAGATATGGCGAGTAGGTATGATTACGCCGCATGGTCATGTTTAGGGGCACCGCAAGGTAATAGCTAGAGAGTAAGCAAACTTACAGGTGATAGAAAAGCTTGGCAAGACTTCCTCTTTCTACTCTAGCCGTGGTAAATATTAAACTTAATTTTTTTAAAGGGTTGAAAGTGTAGTAGGTAGAGGTTAGAATTCACTAAAGTGCGGTAGGCAGAAGTGTCGCGTGTTTATTAGCGCTTTAGCGTGTTCTGTGGGTCTTATCTCCGCGCTAGTCGCTTAGTCAGCTGGTGCATTCTTCTAGATATAAGAATTCACTCTAATTATTACATAATAAGTAAGTGGCTTTGTTTAAAACCTAATACTATGCCGCTTTAAGCTTCCTATATATACTATAGTTATTTAGTTTATGCTCTATTCTTATCATCGTGAAATAGAACGCTTTATCTATTTTAATTCCTCCACTATGTTGTAACAGACACATCTGCACTAAGCTTTGCTTGCGCGGTCCCTTCACTGCCTTTGCCAGTGCGTCTCCTTCAAGCAATGCGTCATTCGCTACCGTTCTCACCCCAGTGTTGCCCTAGTCCTGTTTAGGCTACAGCTTATAGTAAAGCAACATTACTCTAGACTTCGGCCTATCTGCGGCGAATATTTGAGCATGTGCATATACATCCCGTAGGCTACTAGGCAAACACAAGCCACGTCTATGCATGTTAGCATCCCTGCGTGGTAGTTGTGCGATAAATTAGACATTTAGGTTTCTGAAATCATCAGCTTTGCTTTAATCAATCTAATATTTCCACATGGAAGGCTATTCATCTGTATCGCTGTATAATAAAACGCACTCAACGTGTTTAGAAACAATGGTTGCTCCTCTTTTCTACCTCTTTTTAAGGCAAAGTTCGATTATCGGTACTGTATGGCGCTAATCCTAAAGTGGCACCCTTATCGATAACCGTGTTAGCTCTGCAACCCCAAAAAAAGTTCCGCGCGCATCTTGAACTCCACCTAAGTACACCAGCAATACCCTCAGTTCGCACAGCATGACTTCGGACGCGCAAAACAACCCCTTTATCAGGAACCTTGCCTCGAGCGGTATGCATATCAGACATATTGAAATCCTGTCAGCAATAGACTGACGTTTGCGACAGACAAGAAAGTTCGCGACCAGGCACTCGACGCCTTGAAACAATACCTTGGCGCACAGTCTGAAATCTCGGAACTCGATCTCCTAAAGCTATGGAAAGGGCTATTCTACTGTACGTATCATAAAAGTGGTCATCCGGACGAGAGACTTCAGATGTCTCCGTGATCAGCCAGGCGACAGGGCTAAGACAGTTTTTATAGGCTTGTGGATGCAAGACAAACCCACCCTTCAGCAGCGCCTTTCCCGCGACCTCGCATCTCTCGTCTCTACCCTCCGTACGCCAGTAGTTCTGCCATTCATCCGCGCCTTCTTCCTTACCATGTCTCGCGAGTGGGGCCATATTGAAGCACTAAGACTCGACAAATACCTCTACCTGATCCGTCAATACGTCAATGCATCATTCGCATTCCTCAGTCGGAACAAGTGGAAGAAGAGCTTATTGAAACAATGGAACAGCATCATGGAAGAGATGCCTTTGGAATGCAAGAACATGAGGATTCCCAATGGGCTCAGATATCATGTCATGGATGTTTGGGTTGATGAGCTTGAGAACGTTGAGGGCGATGAATGGGAAAAGGACGAAAATAAGGAGACGCTAGAAACGCTGGTAGAGCCAATCGAGAGTATGGCGAAGAACGGAAACTTGAAGCCGTTAAGAAATGCGGCGAAGGAGTGTCTCGCTGATGAAAGGTTAAGAGCTTGGAGAGGGCAAGAAGCTGAAGTCGCAAGCGAGCCTGAAGAAGAGGATGAGGAAGCAGAGTGGGGAGGTTTTGCAGACTAAAGAGCCATTTCATTGGCACCTCGAGCATCACAATCGATTTCAGCGCGGCGTTTATGGGTATTTAGCCTTTGCAAATACAACACGAAAAAGCACTAGATTTGGAAGTCTTGAATCAACACGCGAAATGCACCGAAACTCCGCAACGAGACCAAGCGCCATCATGAGCGGAACCCTTTATTCACAGCCGTCCATCTCAATCGTCACGGATGTTGATAGAACCGTCTAGGTCTTGTTAGCATACTTTTCATTGCTATACAGTAGCGTGTACTCACATCCGTCTCTCTTATCTGTACCACGATTGTCCTTTCTCTCTTCTGTATATCTCCCTAGCAAATCCGGCCTGACGAACAGTACATACATCCTCCACAGCAATGGAGGCAGCAAAAATCCAATACTCACCCCTGCAACCGTCCTACTCAGTGCTGCATGAGGTGCCCCTTGTATCAACTCCAACATGAGAATAGGGATCAGGCATGCTTCGCCTATACCTAACAGTAAGTAAGTCGGCCTCCTAGACTCGATACCATTTCTGGTGTTGGTCGCGCCGGCGAACAGTGCCGATGTAAGTCCACCAACAATCAAGCCACCGAAAAGGCGCACGAACAAAACTGATGCTGGGTTGATATCCCGAGACGGATTGTTGAGAAGTAGTGAGAGGGTAAATCGCGTGTTCGTGATTAGAGGAATTGTAAAGAGATTTGCAACGGCTTCGAGGACGAAGGCTTTGCGAATTGTTGAACCGTCTTGAGCAGGGTCAGGCGTTATGCTCAGGTTTGCTGCTGGTGACTTTGTGGATGACATCTTGGGAGCTGCCCCGGGGTTCTGAGATAATGATAGCGATAAATTATAGGTACTCGAAATACAAAAGATGTTTTGGGTCTATGGGCAGTGTGTTATAATTCAAAGCTGAAGTGATCTCCCTAATTAATAATGACGAGTGTGTCGTCGAGAAAGTCACATTGACGTCATCACTTTTCGAGATGCCTTCAAGTGCCTTCGTAGGATTACAGTGGGTGAAAATACATTCCATGCATGAATACCTTTTTATCTTACTAACTTACGATAATATCTCTATTAATGCGTTGTGTGTGTGCACAACTACTTACACCGCCAATAGTAATTTGGCTGACCTATAGTTAAGCTACCTTAGACCATGTCACCATATAGTGCGACCTACTTGTGTATTTTCTTCTTTTCTTTCAAGACAAAAGAACTGGGCGCCCCACGGAAACATGGGGGTATCGGCGTAAAATGTGTTCATTAATTGGAGGCGGTGAATGAACTTCTGGTGGCAAGTTGCTATTTGGTTCACCACCACACACTAATGTACTATGAGAAACGAGAGGTGAGTAACTAGAAACATATTCTTGTCGAACAAACAGTGGGATCGTCTTCCAGATACCTCGCAGTAATATCATTGCAAGACTGAGGGGAGGTGTTCTCAAGCACCAGTCGGCCAATCACAACCTCCGAATTTACACCGCCAAAGTTGCCCAGGTCCTCACCGCGCAATAAGTCCGGCAAAAACATTCCACAACGCACTGCAGGGTTGAAGGGTTCAACTTCTGGGCTGATCATGGGCCGCCGACCCAACCAGCTGATCCTCGAATACTTCGAGCGCGGCCCTAAGCTCGAAGATGCAAGCAACCGCTACCAACACACGTGTAAATCGTGCGGCGAAAAGGTACATAACCCCGCGACAAAACGTCTCGAGGCGAAATGAGTAATAGCTCACACGACGCAGTTTCCTAAAGGTCGCATAGACAGCCTCACCAACCACCTAGTCAAGAAATGTCCTGCTCTGCCTCTTCAAGACCGGCAGCGTGCACTGCTGCAAATGCACGAGCTGCCCCTCCCCGACAACATGACGCAAACGGCCAATACGAACGCACCGGGACCGAGCCAAATGCAGCATGGCCAGAAAATGAACCTTCCTTTTGTACCTTCGAAACAGCTCTCTGCTCTCGAGACGCTAGCTGAGGTCTCGCGACAGCACTTGGACCTGTCTGGAAAGCGAATGGCAGAGAAGCAGCCCTCACAACCGCAACACGGCCACAATAATACAAGTCATGCAGGGCTATTGGAAGAGTTCTTGATACAAGATGATAGACCGGACGGTTCCGATTTGGGCAGTCTTTCGCATGGCATGGACATGTCAAACCCGCCAGCTATGCCGTCTATGTACCAGTTCAATAATTCGCTGCATCACTCACCGACAACTTCCCCGCACATGGGCCACATGCCACTTTCAAACTCTTCATCCATGTCGCACATGGTTCCCTCACTCGTCATGGCGGCATCTGCGGCAAACGATCTGATGCCGCTGACCAACGGCTTGTCAATGGACTCGGATATGAATCTCTCAGGACATGGTCTACATAACATGTCAGACGGAAAATTCTTTCATACGCAAGGACGTGGACACTGGCCGAATATACAACCCAATTCGCTCGACCCAATGTTGCAAGACCATAGCAAAGAACACATGCAGATAAATGACAGTCACAAAGGAATGGGCCACCAGCGACCGCTTGCCATGAACGCAGGTAATCAAACGCACTTCACAACGGACTTCAGTATGAACCAAAAGCCAGCAAAGCCAAAGGTCAGAGGGCGCTTCACCGACTCGAGGCGGAAGGAAGTACAAGAGGTGCGCAAACGAGGCGCGTGTATCCGGTGTCGTATGCTCAAGAAGCCTTGTTCTGGAGAAAACCCATGCAATACTTGCCAGAATGTTGAGAGCGCACGGCTTTGGAAGCAGCCTTGTATTCGGACACGGATCGCAGAGGAATTTGGTCTCTATACTGCCGGCTTACACAGCGTCCTCGCATTCCACGCCACCAACCAAGCAAAAGGCCAGATACGACTTGACCAGACGCCAGGACGGATAGAAGCCAGCCATTTCCCGGCTTCTGGGACTTTCGCGACTTTTACCCCACTGAAATGTCAACAAACTGCGGCGACCCAGACCACGGATATCGACCCGGCTATTTTCTCAGGACTAGCGTCACCCGATTTGGAGTTGATAGATAGCGATGACGATGTTAGTGGAAAAGTAGATCACTACGTGAAAAAGATGGCTGGCCACTTTGCCGACACCGAGGACTCTCACTTCATGAAGGCAACGGTACACAGCGCGAAAAGTATTGCATCATTGAGCTCCGATGGACTTATATCCAAGTCACTGGAGCTTTGGAACCTTACCCGCATACTCACGTCCCGCAACTTCGAATGGCACTTGTTCTCTAATCCATCTCTTGCGCCTACTCTGGCCCCCTCAACGCTGTCTGCTGCAGATATCGATGATGCAGTTCGCATGCCCATCACATCTCTGGAGCATGCCTCTTCTCACAACCTCATTAGCATGCAGCTCATGGGCGCAACAGAGAAGCGGGCGGCATGTCTTGCACGCATTGTCATGAACGACCTCGAACGCAGATTACTGCAGCGTCAACAAGCAAATCCGTTTGAAACCTTCCTTGTTGCAGTTATACTCCTGGCCTGTGTAGAGCGAATGTGCTGGCTGTTCCGTTCTTGGGAAGTCCCGTCTACGACTCCAACAGGCGAAAGCAGCAACGATTCTTGCAAGCAAACCTCCAATCCTCATAACGACCTTGTATCTGCTCTCGATTCTGCTACAGTCAATTCTTCGTCTCCTCCCGCACCAGCACAAGACCTTTTGAGCCAGTCCTATCGCAATCCCCGATGGCCACTTGACAAGTCCCCGTCTACGTTCTCGCAGCAAGGCGAAAAGTTTAGCGATATCCTTAACATGTTGCTCAAGATGCGCGGTGTTCCCCCCAAGGTGACGTCGATGAATCTTGACGGGACGCTGACGGTGTGGAATGAGGATGCCGATGAGAAGGTCCGGGAATGGTACAATGGGATTTCGGTTACGACGCTGATGCTGGATGAGCGGGCGAATGCACGTTTTGCTGGTGACGATCCAAAGGAGTGGGAACTGAAGTTTATAGGAAAGATTATTAGAGGGGATTAGATTTGGGTGTCAAGGGTGCTGGCTGCCAATACTGAAAAGAAAATACAAGCGAGTTGTTGATATGAGAATGGTTCTTCGTGACTCCCATGCCATATGAGTGAACAAAGTTACAATCACATTGGCTTCTCATTGGATTCGCAAAACCTTGATTGGGAATATGCAAATCGTATGCCACTTTGGGTGCTCGCAATGCGCCATAACGCCGTAACACCACATCATGACTCTATGGACGAAAAGATGAAAAGCAATCGGCATGAGTTGACTCAGCTCTTGAGAGCCTCGAGTCGGCCCCGCATTTGGGCCAGCATCTCTGCCTGGTCTTCCTCCTCTTCCTCCTCTGGTTGTGGTGCAGCAGGAAGCTCCTCCTCTTGTGCTTTGCTCGGCGGTAACCGATCCTTGAGCACCTCGCTCAGCACCTTGTCCACTTCCTCTTCTGCTTCGTCGGCCTCCCCTTCCAGCATTTCATTCTCGCCCAGCGTGTCATCGAGCATCTCCTCGATGATTCCCGCCTTCATCAACTCGGAGCTGAGTTCTCTCATGGTGCCAGTCAGCTCTGGAAGTCTGACTAGACTGTTCACGTCCTTCATGATACCCGTGCTGGCCTTGATGCTGCCCTCAATTTTCCTAACAGAGAAGGCCTCGTTGACCTGCATTTGCACGCTGTTGAGCTGCGCCTTGGATGTCATGAGCCGGTTGTTTTGTTTCCGGACGCGAATCAGTTCGCGGGCGAAGATGCGGACATCTTGGTTGGCCTGCTTAGCCATGGCTGGGTTGCGCTGGGCGCGTTTGGACGACTGTTGGATGAGGTTTTTGGTTTTTTGCTCCGTGGCCTTGAGCTGTTGAATATCGCGATCGAGCTTTCGGACGTTCTGGCGCACGAGGGCGTTGCATTTGCGCTTCTGTGGGGATTGTTAGATTGTCGTGTAGAGATGGGATTTGTGGTGACGTAGCACTATCGTACCTGCTCTTCGGGCGTGGGCTTCCACAGGAGACCCTTGATGGTCTCCATAGTGGACAATCAGTCGATCTGGATGCGCACAGTATGGTCTTGGGAGCGCCAGATGCGCGGTGCTTGGGAGTGGGAGTCGTCTGGCGCTGGTGTATGTGGGAAGGGCGGGAGTTGGCAGGCTCGAGAATCAGGAGGCACGTGACGGCAGCTAGACGGGGCGATTGACAGAACACTAGCAGGTCAAGCGAAGGGTGAATAGCATAGGAGCATGTGACAGGGCAGGAGGTGGATGTGCATGTGGATGTGCCGCATGCCAGGGCCCGAGGTGTCGTAAGGATGGCGGCCTTGGACCGGCTCCAGGCCGAGCTCGGGCCATGGTGACGTTGAACCCTTCGCGGGGCACGAGCAGCCCACTAGCCTCAGAGTCCAAAAGTCTGCCAACCACCGCGACAGCGAGTGAGATAGGCAAGAAAATACAAATCCACAGGATGCATACGCGTTCACACTGACCTCCAACCTGTATTTCGTAATTGATTGACCAAAAACGGGTTGTTGAACCCAAAGATTCCACAGAGCTTCTATTGCTTTCCACGCTAGTCTCTCCACAGGGCCGCATTTCTTCCGCCTTCAATCTGCTTCCTCCAGACAAACACTTTGACCGAGCAACAATCAACGCCCATTACATAAACTGCGACACACGCTGTAGTGTATCTGGACTTGAACGGAACGCCACACCACACAACTACGACCTTGAAAATGACTACCCTCACCCCAGAAGGTATGTTACAGCCTTGTTTACCGTCAGAGATACTTTACTCGTGCCTTGTGCAACCTCTCACATTTATGGAGACGCAATCGGATTTTTTGTTCTTTGTAGATCACTTGCGACCATCGGAGACGCGTCCAGGGCCTTTCTTACCGTCCAAGATATGCTAATACGCAACAGTCCTTTGGGCGCAACGCTCATCCACCGACGACCCGTCCAAGAATGTAGTCTATCTTTCCATCGTTGCCCCCGACCTATCGAACGACGACCTGAAGATCGAACTCAAGAATCAATCTCTCAGCTTCAAGGGCACCTCTACTTCCAAGAAGGCCACATACGCCATCGACCTTGAATTCTACGCCGAGATCGACACTGAAAACTGCAAATCGAACAACAACGGCCGTGGCATTGACTTATTACTAAGGAAGAAGGAGCTTAAGCAGGAGTACTGGCCCCGTCTGCTCAAGGAGACGAAGAAGATGCACTTCCTTAAGACCGATTTCGACAAGGTGGGCTAGCTAGGAATGATAATGCCACGAGAATGAAGCTAACATGCTACAGTGGGTCGATGAAGACGATCAAGACGAAGTCGCGGAGGACATTGACACGTCCGCAATGAACCCCATGGGTGGTGGTGACGGAGGCTTTGGCGGCATCGACTTCAGCAAGCTTGGCGCAGGTGGCATGGGCGGAATGCCTGGAATGGATGGCCTGGACATGAGCCAAATGATGGCAAACATGGGTGGTGGTGCCCCCGGCGCCGACGACAGCGACGACGATGATGACATGCCTGAGCTCGAAAATGACGAGGACAACAAGGAGAAGGCGCCCGCAGCCGCCGCATCAGGCGACAAGCCCAAGATTGAGGAGGTCGCATAAATAGGCTACTTTCCTTGCGTTTAGCGAGTTGTACCACATGAGATTGAGCGGACGGCGCGCATGACGGATCGGCGTTGACACAATCTTTGGGGAAATGAATGGGAGTGTAATCCGAAATGGCCAAGTACGGCTATGGGTCTATGAGCCGCTGCTGCTTCACAACTTTAGCGTGTGGATGCAGATGACGATCAAATCATGCAGTACATGACAAAACAATACGAATCATGTTTTTTTCATGAATCAGGGAAATATTGTGTCCAATGTGAAATGAAGCATTTGGTGAGTCTAGTATTCTTGTTAGTGAACCCACTGGGGTACCTTTCTATAATTCTAAGACATCCCTTTGATTGCCTGGTATGCCTCACACTTTTGCTGGTATTTGGTAGGTATCGTATGGAAAGTTTTCCAGAGTGCTGTACAACCGTGCCCATCCATCATCAATTTGCATAGTTGTGCCAATTTGTCGCTCTCCTTGTAGAGCCAGATCCTCCGCCTTATTCTTCTTTTCCTCCTCAGTCTCTTTGTACTCGCCCGTCAGTCCTGCAAGCACCTCTTTCTCCCTGCCCTTGTACTCTACCAATAAATCCGGATGGGGACACCACACCACCTGCATGCCAGCTCTCCGACCAGACTCAACCCCCGGCACGCTATCCTCGAAAACCAAGCACTCTTCCGGCCGAATAGGCGATTCTCCTTTCTCCTCCAACGTTTTGTTGAGTACAGAAAGCGCAAGAAGGTAAATGTCAGGCGCAGGTTTCCCACGACCTGGCGCTATCCTCGGATCATCCCCCAAAACACGGTGTTCAGGCGCAAAATGATCAAACAAATGACCCAAATGCGCGCTCTTCAGTTCAAAGTTGCCCTTGTGACTGCTCGTTGCGAGAGCAACATGCACGCCCCTGCTCTTCAGGCCCTCCAGTAAGTCCAGGACGCCCGGTAGCGGTTTTGTGGTTTTGAAGAGTTCGCGCTGAAGTTCTGATTGCTCGACCATGAATTGCTCGTGTGATATGGGGAGTTTGGCCCATTCGTGGAAGATTAGTCCGGCTTGTGGGCCGGGCCGACCTTGCATTTGGGCTTTTATGGACCAGGGGAGGAGTGGGCGGCCGTAGCGCTCGAGGATTTTGTTCGTGATTATCGTGTAGATGTCTTCGGAATCGATTAGGAGGCCATCCATGTCGAAGAGGGCGGCCCGTATACGGGGTGGTGGGGTGGTCGTGCTAGTTTGTGTTAATTGGATTTGATACACACTTTGGGTGAGAATTGCGTACTTTGAATCCATGTTGGCTTGTCTTGAGGTGCGTAGAAGAGTTTGTAGGTACCTAACCGGGAGGGTTCGCAAAGGATGCGACTAAGTGAATGGATCTTGGTACCCCACGCCTAATGACTGGACCGAGGCGTGGGGCACTAGTCGGACCTCCGGCTCGGCCACAGACGTCACTCTCCAAACAGATCAACAGGTACCATAGATGGACGAAGACTATTGACAAAACAGTACATTTTCGATCACTGACGAACATGTCATTAAAAAACGATACTCCCTCAAAGCCTGAAGCAGCTGAAGTGGCAACACCCGAAATATTCCCGCCAGATGAAGAGAAGAAACTACTCGATGAAGCAACTACGGAAAAGGCTTTAGCCAACAAGACATTTGCGTCAGGCGAATACAACAGCGCCATACAAGGATACGAGAAGGCGCTTGCAGTCTGCCCGAACTATCTCGAATACGATGTCGCCGTCCTGCGTTCCAACATAGCGGCATGTCACTTGAAGCTGGAGGAATGGAAGCAAGCCGTAGAATCTGCCACAAAAGCCTTGGAGGCACTGGACCGCATAGATCCTCCCCCAGCCCCAAAAGAAACAAGCAAAGAAGGAGAGAAAGAAACAACAGGCGGCGGCGCCGTCCAAGAAATCGATGATACCACCGAAATCTACCTCGACGCTCTCACACGCACCAACCACACTATAGACGACGTCCACAAACTCCGCACCAAAGCGCTCCTCCGCCGCGCAAAAGCCCGCCACGAAGTCGGTGGCTGGGCCTCTCTCCAGGGCTCCCTCGAAGACTACCAAGCTCTCCTCAAACCACCGCACCGACTCTCGAGCCTCGACCAGAAGGCGGTGCAAGCGGCGTTAAGGACATTACCGGCGCAGTTGGAAGAGACGAAGAACAAGGAAATGGCGGATATGATGGGTAAGCTGAAACAGCTGGGAAATGGGATTTTGAAGCCGTTTGGGTTGAGCACGGATAATTTTCAGTTTACCAAGGATGAGAAGAGTGGGGGGTATAGTATGAATTTTAACCAGGGGGGTAAATAGAATCTGCGAGAAGGATAAGAGGTTGTTGTAAGCATCTGAGTTCGGGAATCGTAGTCTTTCTGTGTCTTGCAGATGGTATGAAAGAGGCTATATCCAGAGCGGTGCAAGGGACCTACAATCCACGCTGAGAACTACGTAGCACTCACTCACAACGAACATTGCGTCAGCATGATGCACTGTGTGTAGGTACACTGGGGGTCCAAAACATAGGTCGCCGAGCAAGGCAACACAGCCTTGTGGCCAAGGCTGCCGCGTGGAATATATTTGCTTTTATATCGCCCCAGCCACTGAGATCCATACACATTTGTGTGATCGTCAGGACCCAGATTTCCCAAATTGAGACTAAGCAACATGCAGGGTCTCGTGGTACCTACATTACTTTATTAGCTTTTTTGTGCTGATCTGCGGTTTTATCGACGTGAGCGAGTGATCGCTTTGTGTACCTTGATTCTAGGGGTCTGGGTATGGTGGTTGGTTTCAGGTACGCAGGTTTGGGATTATTGGGATGTTCAAGCGGGGGGTAGAGAACATGCACTTTTAAGACGACTGGCCTCTATGTATGTAGCTCAGAGACTTCCAGGAGGTTGCATATGACATGCTCCGTCAGATCGCCATTGTTTGTCCAGTTTGAGTCTAACCGACACGTTTGAAAGCGAACCAAACTTGATAACACCATTACAGAAGATGATGTCGCAATCTCCTTACGCCACATTCAGAGTGATCACTTGGCTTGTTTCATAGACTTTCGATGTATAGCTGGAAGAAAATACATCACTTCATTATGGACTGACTCTGGCAGAGGTTGAGGACTTGAGACATATTTCTGAACAACTTTGCGGATGACTTCTACATAATTAGCTTTATGGGTAAGAATTCACTTAGGGGCCAGGAAAATAACTGCCACTTCCAAATTGCTAGTGTCCCGTTGTTTGAAAAAAATTCATCGCATGCAGACGAAGGGGACAGCATGATGTTTGAGCAGGTACACCTACACTATCACAGTAGATCTCCCATCCCTGTACCCTGAGCGGCACAAGACCATAACTTATACGGATGTGTAGGTGTAGAGAAAGGCTACGTGGATAGTCCTACTTGGGTAAGAGGGTCTGGTGATGGCTTTGCTTTTACCACAGCAAGACACCCAACGTCAATCTCTTTGTAATCCAGAAGGCATAAATCCCCCTACACATCCCATCGCGATAGCACGCATAGAACACGAAATGAACACAAACAATACGCTTTGCTAAACTACTTCCGAAGAAACACACCCGAAATGATCCAAATCCACTCCACAAAACACGAACCCGACCCAACCCTCGCCCACTCCTTCCTCATCAGCCTTCTCATACTCCACACCATACCATGGCTACGACGTACCTGCCGCCTCAGCAGATTAACATCATACCTCTCAAACTTGTTAAAATCACTCCTCAGACCCACCCCCTCCAGCCCCATCCTCCCAAACCCCATCCGCCCAAGCCCCTCCCCCCCAGACACCGCCCTCCACAACGGCATCCCATACATCTCCCTCACCAGCGCCTACCACCATACGCTCCGACAATCCTGGACCAACGATCCCACAAAACTCTACCTCGAAAGCTGCTTCAATCCGCACTCCCATGTCAATCTCGCCACTGACTACGGTATCGAGGGGTTGTGTCCGGTTGTGAAGGCTACGGAGGGGGATAGATTTATATTGAGGGATGGGGAGCAGAAGTATTATCTTTGGGATGGGTGGAGTGGGGAGTTGAGGCGGTTTAGGGAGAGGTGGACGGAGGGATGTAGGGATAAGGAGGAGGTGGTGAAGGGGATTGTGTGCGAGATGACGTGGGCGGAGTCGGATACGGAAGTTGTGCGTAGGGGGAGGTGATGGGTGGAGTTGATGCAGGTTTATTGGTTAGCAGAGATGATGCATGAATGAATGACTTGAGCAGTAAATTTTAGTTTGTCACAGCGGGTTTAGTTTGTATGAAGGGAATGCATTTATCAATTATGCAATCGCGATTTCTTGGATAATGCTTTTCGGTGTCTTTTGTGTATCTGAAACACAGCTTTTCAACGATACAATAAACCGTTTTTTTTTGCGAGAATGTGACATTGAGTAAAGGCGATAGGGAAAACAGTGTTGGGTCTGACATTGCAAGATTCTCACATCTTTGGGGACGCGAGATCAATTTCGGGTTCTCTAGGGGTAATTTGGACCTGGAGCGAGCTTTTGAATGTAGGAAAGTCCTCGCACGCATCGAAAAGTGGCTTTGGCATGTCGGGTGTAGCCTTCCAGTCGTAGCGTAGCAAGAGGATACAGAGGGCGATTTTCATTTCATCGTTTGCAAACCATCGACTAGACACGTGACGAGTCAGCGAACCTATTGCACATGTCTGCGTGTTTCATAGGGAGGGGAGGGGGCATGAAAAAGAGAGAGCGGAAAGAGAATAGGCAAAAAGACTCACCCTGGGCAGGCATGCTTGCCTATTCCGAATTCTGGATTCTCTAGATTCGCCGTGACAAAGGAGTATTTGTTCGCTTGTCCTTCTCCTTCTCGCTTCTCGAGCCAGCACTCTGGACAAAACTCTTCATTTTCACCCTGGTAATCAGCGGGAGGCATGACGAAAAAACTTCGACCATTGGGAATGGTGAATCCATCTGAGAATGTCAAGTTTCCCTTGACGACTTGTCGGCGTGCAGTACTAAGGTTGCCCCGAAGGATTCTCAGGCATTCTTTATGCACAGCATCTTGTAACTTGAGACGAGCCAAGGCTTGTCTTGTCCAGCCATACTCCTTGAGGACTGAGATGGCTTCTTCTCGGAGAATTGGGATATATTTGGGATATGCAATAAGACACCAGAGAGCGGTGAACAAGTGCTAAAACCTCTCAGTAAATCAAGCAATCCGGGTATAGGATAATGGGATCTTGTACGTACCCCGCCCGTGTTGTGAATGGCAACCATGGATATAGCTAACTGAAAGCCAACAAGATCAAGTTTTTGATCCGTCTTACTTTGTTCGAGAACCCACGCTACGGAGTCGTGCGTCTTTGGGACTTTCTTACCAGCAGCAATTGTCGCTCTTGCTACCTTCTCTCGGCGTTCAACCTCCTTTGTAATCAGCTGACGTGCTCTTTGAGCTTGGTATCGAGCCGTCTTGGTCAGTGGAATAAAGTATTGTATGATGGGCCATAAGATACGGGGCCAAGGACGAAACAACAAAGTCGCTGGCAAAACAGTGACGCCGTATTTGATTGAGATATCGATATATTCCTGGTTATGGGCTAGTTCTTCGCCGAGCATGGTGCGAGCAGTGAAGCGACCAATTATCTTCGTTACTTCAGGAAGCAATGTAACAGTATGCCACTTTCCAGGAGTGAAGTTTCCGAAAAGTTCCTCAGTAGCTAGAATGCCTTCGTCCGCCAGGCTTTCAGTGATAAGTCCCAGAGACTGTGTGAGCTTAACACTGATGGTTTCTCGAAGGAGCCACGCATGTTTGTTGGTTACTAATAGGCCGTCAAAACCAGGCAAGTTCCAAGGCGCCTCGCCTAGGAAATAAGGAGGGAAGGCTGCCTGTTGAGAGTCGCGGACTTCTTCAAGATATCTTTGAGGAAGAGCAATCTTTGGGCCACCATGAGTGAGGATCTGGAAAGGCTGGTCGGGGTACAATTTCCTTCCTTTACCAAGCAACTCTCGTGGCTTGGTATGCCAGCTCTCTCCAGGCGTCTGTTCATCTGCATTGAGGATAGGAACCCCGCGAAGGGGCCGTTGTTTTGTGACCAAATGATGTACCCATAAGATAACTGGGATTGCAGCTATAAGAACAAAGATATAGATGGTTGGTGGGACGCTGAATAGGGAAAGGGTTTTATTGTGAAGAAAATCAACCATCTTGAGATTGTTTGATCGATACAGAGAGATATGGTGAATAGCACAATAAACTGGTGATTCATATTCCTAATTCGTTAAGCGGAGGGTCGGGGGTGCCATCTCCGCCCAAGACACATAAGTGTGTAACGTCGATTGATTGCTGGTCCCGACTGTATGGATGCTACCTTCAAGAGGCAATTTGTGGGTATTACTGAGCATAGCTAAGTTTTACACGAGAATAGCTTAATATGTTATGTCGATCAGCTCCATATTTCAAAAAATGCCTCTGGTACTAGCTACGGACCTCGGACTTAAGAGCATTGCAATGAGCCAGCTATAGGCTCACCGCAGTAGATAGTCAAGAGCCAAGCGCGAAATAGTCTAGATCACATCATACTAAAGGCTGTCATCCAATTTGGGGGAATGAATTTACGTGGCAGTGTGGAAGCGCTCGTACGATGTGGACCATGTAGCTAACGCCCAATCTTAGAAGTACTAAGCTCTTGAGCTAAGGTAGGGGAGACCAAGGGCGATAATGATTCGAAAATGATGCTATTTAGGACAGGTGGTTGTGCTTAAATGACTGAGAAAGTGTCCGGGTGGACCCCGCAAGTACTCCGCAAGCCTGTAGGCCGCAGTATAATGTATTTTCCCACTGAAAACGTCTTGCGAGGGATTTATCACTCCTACGTTCCGGATACTAACTTTCCCGCAGATACGCAGGATACTTCCAAGAATTTATGTTCTCTGTCCACATTATTGCGAGCAACATACCCAAGCCATTGGCAAAGTAGCTATTGAAGCATTCTTCAGTAGTATTCCCGTTGGCCACAACGCTTTGAGTGTGCTTTTGTGGGTGGAGAGTGAAGGAAAGGGGCTTGGTAATTTTGAAAGCGTTTACCCGCATGCATTTCCTCTGTGATCTACTGTGTAAGATTGCAAGGTATCTTGCTGAGGCTACTTGTGAATTTCTCGAGTAGTCGTTATTTCTGAAGTGTAATTTAAATCTAGCTAGTCAGAACCTTAAAACAATAAACAAAAAGCGGATGACTAAACAGATCCTTACTCCAATCTGCTAGCGCACGATAGACGGACTCGTGACTCCTCTACATTTTGACACGGACACCACAGCAACGACAATAGCAACAGTTTGAGAGGTCGCCCGGTTTGTGTAGTTGATGTTTTACCCAAAAAGTTTTTCCTGACGCACAGTACTGTGAGGGTTGTGGAAAATCCAGCCTCCCAACCTTTTTTTCCTTATTTTCACGTTTTGGGGGAGAAAGCTACAAGCGACCATGCCGCAGTACCTGGTTCGGCTGGCGCAGGCACACGAAAGTTTCCGCAGGGTCGAGTTGCAGGCCTTGGCGGATGTTGCGGGCATATCGCTGCGGTTTGTCAAATATCAGGAAGATGTAAGTGTGATTCCTATTTCTCTAGTCCATTTTAATATGTCCTGATTTATTTTATATTCGATCAAGTTCGTACAAATTTCCATCTTTTTGCGTGTCGATTCTGGTACCCTGAGGATCATTTCACTGTCTGAAAACCCACACATCCTAACACTTCAAGTCTCCATACTGTATTGTGGAACTAGCATCAGACGCAGCAGCACGAAAACTCATCGCCCGCAGCATTCTCTCTCAAGGCATATATGAGCTATGGGGCGAGGGCGCAGAGTACAATGCTCTCCATGAGTCTGTCCGCAGTCTAACTGCAAGCAAATGGTCTCGGTACGAGACATCTTCCTTCCGCTTCACCATTGAAGGCTATCGAGGGGGCAGATCAACCGACGAGCAGCGTAAAATCATCGACAGTTTTTCGTACATGGCATTCAAGGGACCTCCACGAATGCGCGACCCAGATGTGGCATTTCGCGTATTCGAAGACTATGAACTAGATGCCAAACAACCAAAGTACCTCTACTTTGGGCGCTTTATTGCAGATTCATGTCGTAATGAGGCGAAGAAGACGTTTGATCTCAAGAAAAGACACTACATTAGCACCACATCCATGGATGCGGAGCTTACACTCGTCACGGCGAATATCGCACATGTGGCGCCAGGCAAGGTATTTTACGACCCATTTATGGGCACTGGTGGCTTTCCAATCGCGTGTGCGCATTTTGGCGCCGTAGTGTTTGGAAGCGACATCGACGGTCGCACTATACGGGGCACAGGGGGGAGTGCTCGAAGAGGGCAGACAGGAAAGTACGATGTTGTTGGCAACTTCAAACAATACGGCATCGAATCAAGATATCTAGGTGCCTTTGTTTCTGATCTCACAAACACACCACTGAGGATTTTACCAACTGGCAGTCAAAACAGCAAAGGCTATCTCGACGGTATCGTATGTGATCCCCCTTACGGGATCCGTGAAGGCCTCAAGGTACTCGGGTCTCGCCAGGAGCTTCTCGAAAAAGAGCGGAAGTCACATCAAGATCAATTCAAGGAACCGGGGTATATTCCACCCAAGCGGCCATACTCATTTACTGCGCTGCTCGACGATATACTCGAGTTTGCAGTTGCGACACTGGTGGAAGACGGGCGACTCAGCATGTGGATGCCGACTGCCAATGACGAAGACATTGAGCTGATAATACCCTCGCATCCCGGCTTGGAACTGACATCGGTATGCGTGCAAGCTTTCAACAAATGGTCTCGTCGACTCCTTACCTACCGGCGGCGCCGTGAATCAGAGATGCCGGAGGGCGCGTTGGAGGCTGTCAAGAAGGAGTACGAAAAGGGTACAAGAGCGAGTGAGTTGAACGACTTTCGCCGAAAGTATTTCCAAGGATTCAAGGAGTTTGAAAGTATGAAGAAAGAGTTTATTAGGATGAAGAAGGAAAATAACGTGGACGGGGATGTGGTGATTTGTCAAGACAAGGGAGATGCTGGAGTGTGAGCATTGCATTGCAGCCAGACAACAGTCTGACATGACTATGAAAGGCACGGAGCGCCATGAGCCATGCCGTCAGTTATTAAACCGATTGGTGGAAAAGTGCAGTCTAAGTCGAACCTAGCCATTTGTCTTGAACCCCAAATAACCTAGTCCGCCCCTTTGCACCAAGAGTCAATTGAATGAATATGAGGTGTGGCACTAACAATAGTCCCTGCTCGAGATCGTTCGAGTAGTAGGCCCGAGGCGCGTACATGCATAAAAGGTGTAAGATTTCCGTGTCGTCGAGAGAGCACTAATCAAGCAATCTTTATATTAATCTCAGCTTGGATTCGGAAGGTTCAAGCAATCCAAAATGCATTTTTGTTCAACATTGTCGTACCTTGGCCTCTTTGCTTCGTCGGTCACAGCCAGGGCCCTTGAAACTCCCACGGAAATAGTGCCTAAACCGCCGTTCTTTGCTCTAGCCGGCGACTCAACCACGGCGCCGCAGGCGGAAAATGGAGGCGGCTGGGGCAACGGCTTCCTCAATACAACTCTGCACGCCGGGGCGGCGGGAAAGAATTTTGGCCACAACGGCGCGACAACGGTGTCATTTCGCGAGGGAGGCGACTGGGCCAATGTTCTCGCAGCTGCAAAAGCCGCGAGCAAAGATTTCGATGTATACGTGACGTGTCAGTTTGGACACAACGACCAGAAGCCGGCCAAGAACATATCGATTGAACAGTACTCAGCTAACCTTGCGAGGTTTGTCCATGAACTGTTGGAGATACAGGCCACGCCTGTCTTGGTGACTCCGCTCAGCAGACGCAAGTTTGACTCCGATAACCGCGTCAAGGAAGACCTGGCCGACGTGACAGCGGCAACAATCAAGGTGGCGGGCCAGACTGGCGCGCAACTGATCGATCTCAATGCGGCGAGCACAAAATACCTAAATGCCATTGGGCCTGATAAAGCGCATACGTACAACCTGACGCCTTCGGACAATACCCATCTCAACAACGGAGGAAGCATTGTTTTTGGCAATCTGGTGGCAATACTCATGAATCAGGAGCTAACAAAGTTGAGCACGAAGTATCTGTCACCCATTAAAGATATTGCGGATAAGTTAGAGAAGGGCGAGTACGTGTTCGCGTATGTGTAGGTTGATAGTGTAATGGGTTCATTGGAGGAAATCAGCAGAGGAGCAATGCATATATCATGATAATTAAGAAATATGAATGCAAAAGGCAGCGAGTTTGAAAGCTCTTGGTGATGAAGGGAGAAGTGAAGTGTGGATCTACTATGTATACAGATGCATGGTGATGTTGTAGGGCTGAGCACAGACTCCGACATGGCAACATTTTGTGGAGGGCGATGGATGATGCATTCATTCATCGAGTGCGCCATCGCTCGCAGCCCACTCACCATGCAATGGTCGCCCCAGCGCATTTACAGACACTAGATAACTATAGGAAGTTATAGGCTCGCAATTTGAGCCTCTTTTTGCTTCGGTATAGCAAACGCCTGGGGCTGGACAGGCGCACATTTCGCCATGTCTCTTCTCCGCCCGACATGCGCCTCGCTCGCGCGCCGCCTTTGTACTACACAACCTCACTCTCGACAGACATCAACGTCTCCGCTACTAGCTCTCGTTCAGCGACACCGGGCATCACGGCTACAATGTCGCTTCTTTGCCTGCACCCCCCATTACCGCGCCAGAGTCATCGATACACCACAGAACCCCGCCATCCCACAATCTCGCAAGCGCACCGTACGCATAGGGCCACTCCCTGAAGGGCCAGTCAGCGAAGCAACCATACACCGCATCTTTGGCCGCAAGCTATCACCGCAAGACGGCAATAATGTGCTGCGCATACTGCACCACCGGCGCACCGCAGGCTCTCTGGCCGACTACGGCGTAGACAATCTGGGCAAGCAGTACACACATGTCAGCCGCGACACCGCACTTAAAGGACTGGAATGGCTGCGGGCGAAATATCCCATAGATGAGGCGCGAGCAGCAGAAGAATGGGCCGAGAAGGAAGCCAATCGCATAGCCTACGAGTTATGGCTCGCCGACCCCGAAACGGAGTCCAAATACAAAGACCCCGCCCGTGCCTTTCGCGAGCAAATGGAAAAGGAAGAGCAAGAACGTATACGTCAAGAGGCCGAGGACCAAAAGATTGGAATTCTGCACGCGGGCAAGAGTCAATTCGAGCTCAACATTGAGGAAAAGCGGCGGGCACGTCTAGAAGAGATTACGCGCATAGCAGAAGAGAATGAGCGGAAACAGAGGGAAATGGAAGAGAAACTCGCGAGTGGAGAATGGGTGCGCACACCAACTGGCACGCAACTCATGAAACCCGGCCAAACAACGTACATTGACATCTTTGGCCGCGAGCAAGTCAGCCGACGCAAAGAGGAAATGGAAAAGTACAACAAAGCGGCTCAAGTAACGGACGCAACGACAGCTGAGGAACTCCTGGAACAAACAACTCTCGTACGTTTTCCCCCCAATCTCCATCTTTCACCCTGCTAACAACCCCACCTCCCAGTCCGAACGTCTCATCCCCATGACCGTCTTCGTCCTCTTCACCCTCGCCGCCTCCTACGCCTTCGCACACTTCTACACGCCTCCCTCGCCATCCTACCGCCTCTTCCCGGACCTCTCCCCCACAACCGCCACCATTGGCGCCCTGGTCGCTGCAAACTGCATCGTCGCCATAGGCTGGCGCATCATGCCCCTATGGCCCCTCATGACACGCTACTTCATGCACGTCCCGGGTTACCCACGCGCCATCCAGAGCATCGCCAACGTCTTCAGCCACATCCAGTACGAGCACCTCGTCGCTAACATGATGATGCTGTGTCTCGTCGGCCCTGTATGCTGTGATCTCGTGGGCCGCGGTGTCTTCATGGGTACGTATATGAGTGCCGGTGCTTTGGGCACGCTGGCGTCGTTGTACTGGGCGAATCTCGGCCGCGGCAATATCACGGCGCATTCTGTAGGGGCTTCAGCGGCGATTTGGGGGATAGCAGCGTTGTACTGTTTGTTGACTGATCAGGAGAGGATTAAGATCCCCTTCTTGAAGGACCAGGAGGTTGCGTTTTGGCCTAAGATGCTCTTGGCGGCGTTTGTGGTCCTCGAGATTCATTCGGCCATGCGGAGGAAGACGACGATGGATCATGCGAGTCATTTTGGGGGCATGGCCGTTGGGATGGCTACCGCGGGGTATCTAAGGGCGACGGGGTTCCGCGAGAAGATTGAGGCTAAGGAGCAGCAGCAGCAGGGGGTTCAGGCTTGGGCGGGGACGCCAGAGAAGGTGGTGGATGTTGGGGCGATTGCGAAGGAGGGCGTCAAGGAGGTTAAGCAGAGTCTTACAGGGAGCGGGAAATAGACGGAGAGGTTTTTTGTGTGGAACGTACGGCATGTATGTAGTAGTTATATGTACAAACCCCCTCCCCCCCGAATCTTTTTCAAGCGAAAGAAGGATATTTGAGTAAAATACCCATATTCATCCCAATCACCAACCTCACTAAATCCCAATCCCCATTTTCACCCACACAATCCATAATTACTACGCCTGTACTTCCATCTCCCGTCTCCTGCCTTTTTCTCACCCCTCCCCCTCCCCCTCCTCCCTCGCGCCCTTTCTCTTCTTGCAAATAAAACCCCTCACAAATCCGCCTCTCGACCGCCTCATTCACCACCTTGGCAATGGCACTAGGCCAACACGCCCGTTTCCAAAAATTGCTCGCGCTCAGAAAATTCAGGTGCAGTGGCGCTGGCGGAACGGGATGCGCTGCATCCGTCGTGAGCCCGGGAATCGGATGCGTGACTGCTGCTGCGCGGGCGAGGTGCTCGGTGCAATGAGCTAGTTTTGTAGGGATTAAGGAAGGGATGAGGACTTCGCAGTAGTCTTGGAGGCAGAAGGAGGTTTGTGTTGGGGAGGTGGAAGAGGAAGAGGAAGAAGAAGAAGGAAAGATGGCGTGGGTGGAGTTGTGGGGCCAGGCTGTTGCGTCGAGTCCTGCTTCTGCGTGGGCAGAGGAGGAGGAAGAGGAGGAGAGGCGAGAGGTGTAGCGGCGGAGTAGGATGAGTTTTCCACGGACGGAACCGAGATAGGGTGTTTTATTCTCGGTGTACCAGCGTGAGAAATTGGGGGTTATGTAGTGTTTTTCCAACACAGCGGCGAGGTGCTCGTCTGTTGCGCTGCCTACGCCTTCTCTTTTTAGGCTGACGAGGAGGGTTTCGCTGGGGTGCGCGGCAAGGAAGTCGTAGCAGGTTTGGAGGATGGGGCCGAGGTATCTGGGGCCGGTTAGGCTTATGGGGAAGGCGCCGTGGACGAGGTAGAGGTCCTTTTTTGAGGTGTCGGTTGCGTGGATGGGTTGGACGCGGATATCGAGGAATCGGATGCCGTTTTCCAGTTGGGTTTTTATGTCGTGGACTTGACATCTGACGGATGGTAGGGCGCGGTAGTGCGTGTGTGAGTTGTGTGTTCCTGGTATGCTGATTGCAGAGAGAGGGAGGTTGTCGGGGAGTGTGGACATCCATGAGGCATAGCTGGGAATGTGGTTGCTTTGAATTGCCAGATGAGGAATTGGCTTGGAAGGGTGAAATATGGCATTGTACTTTGTCGAGGAATTTGCAGAGAGTGCAGTTAAGGCTTGTGTCGACTTTTGCGTATATGAAGGGTTTGAGTCGATTCGATAGCGTTCAGCTTTGGGCGTCTGAATCGTGATACGGAGCACTGGGCTCGACAGTGTACCTGCATTGGTAGGCCGAGTTGGGTTGGGGAACTTGAGCGTATAGGATTCAAAAGGCTGTAACGTGACTTCCACATCTTGATGGTTGAAGCTCTGGGCATGCCCACTGAGCTCTGGCGATGTAGGCGTTGCAGGCGTAGTACTTCTAGGACTCAAAAAGTATCCATGGGCTTTTGATTGTAGTGTGTTTGGATCTTCAAACCGCTCAACACGCAGCAGAGAAATAGCGGTCGGAGTCAGATTCCGTACCGTAAGCGGTGAAGACATATTGCTTGACTTCTAAGCTTCTACAGTCTAGAGACAAAGTTGTCCAAGGTAGACTAGTAAGATATCTTCATGCCCAGTCTAGCCAGGTGGAAATATAGGCACGTAGTGTTGTTCTGTTTTACAACGCCAGTTAGGGCAGCTGGCTAGGATTGCATGCAATTACAGCCAGACATTAGTAGCAGACTGTCACGAATAGAAAAAAAAAGGCCGAATCTATATCGGGCGAGTACGCTGAGTGCAAGGATCAAAAGGCAAGTTGTCAGCTAGACATGCAGTGTGGACAAAGCGCCGAGACCGCGCCAGCCTCCGAAGGCGTGTCAAAGACGCGTAACCCACTGTAAACAACAGTCACGTATCGAGAGCGGAGAAGTAACATAGTGCATGGAAAAAGTAAAGCGTTGATACGACCCCGTGTCAAATGGTCCAATAAGATGACTTGACTGACATCGTAAACAACCAATATCAATTGCGGCAAGAGCGCGATTCTATCTCCTTAAAACGTAGTCCTAGGACCCAAGGGACTCTAACGTCCTATTCTGCCTCGACCAGGGGTCCGCCCGGGTATCATGCAGCCGAAACAAGTAGGATATGCACGTCCAACATGAAAAAAAGGTAATGATACAGCGGGAATACATCTGTACACACAAGCAAACGCCTCAAACCAGTCATAGCACGCGCACAAATGCGAAAAGAATAATAAATATGTCGTACCTCTAGCGCCGACAAATGCGATGGATACTAGCAAAGAAGGTGGTTCATGTTCTTGGGAACAGCACCCGTAGGGCTCTCGATTACATGCCGCTGTGCGCTCCCAGATGATGAAGGACGAGACTCACTCGTACATGTGGCGTGTGCAAATGCCATTTCCTCCTCGATCTGCGCATTGGGTGTTCGGTCCTTGGTAGGTGTAAAGCTTTCAATGGGTGGCCGTTTTGGCGAGTGGTTGTTGCGACCGTCCACGTTTGACACTGGTTGGAAGACATAATCCGACTTGATTCTTGTCAGTCTTGCCAATTTTCTAGGAGTGACTGGAGGCCGGCCTTTTCCAACAGCAATCATGTCGGTAACGTTTTCCTTTGGCTTGAGCTGTGGGTTGAACTGAGATTCAATTGGGGGAAAAGCAGGATCGGACTTTTTGGCCAAAGATTTGGAGCCACTTTTTGTAGCACCCTTGGTAGCCTTGAAGACATTGTTGATGGCAGGAACCTCCTTGGGCTCTTTCTTTGCCTTGGTCTTGGTTCCTGCTGTTGCCTTCTTTGTCTGCCCCTTGGGCTTTCTTGTAGGTGCTTTCCCTGCCACCTTGCCAAAGAGGTCCAATTGAGCGTTTTGAATGTCGGCCTTTCTCTTTGTGCCCTTCTTCGACGGTGTCTCTGGCTCCTCCTTGCCAAATGAGTGGGCAGAGATGCGTGGGCTTTGACCAGGTGTCAGCTGACCAGCATTGCGAAGAACACCCGGCTTGCGAGGAGTACCAATGACGACTTCTGCCTTTTGCTTTTCCTTAATTTTGCTCAGATGTTCATCCGTGACTGTCTTATATTCCATTGGGTCATCCCACCGACGCATATTGGCGTGGCGAGCAACTTCGTCACAGGGGCCCCTGACGACCAAATCCCACTTGTCCTCAAGGTCTTTTCCAACCGGCTCGGGGTCATTGTTCAGCCATATCGTGACACCATCCTTGCGGTCACGAACAATATTGCACATTTCACGAGCGATACGCCGTACGCCTGGGACCTTAAGCGTAGTGCCAGCGACAATAACAGCGTCAGGCCTCATGCGCATGTCGTATGACGCGCAGGAACCGATTGATTCATCGTCAGGGTTGTGCTCGTTGTACAGGACCATGCGTGGACGCAGACGGCCGATACCATGGCTTCTCTTATCCGCAACCTGACGAATTTCATCATTTTGCACGCAGCTCGGGCAAGGAGGTGGGCTAGGGCCGTTGAATTGCTCAGCATCAAAGGGCGTTATCGCGTGGCATTTGGAGCACGACATGTAGTCAAGGCCGCCATGGACCTGCACAGTCTTGGGCCAGGGCCCCTTCTTTGGCAGCGGGACCTGGGTGCTCAGAGGAGGCAGCGACGTGTCTATGCCGTCGACGTTTTGGGTGTAGAGTCGCATGAGGCGGCCTTCCTGAGCCAGCGTAGCGAGGAGGTGGTGGAAGGCGGTGGGCTGGGCCGATTTGGTATGGTGAGAAAGAGTACGGACCATGTCGTGGAACGTCGATGTGGACGTGTCATCCTGGTAAACAGAGGCGTCGAACAGGTCCTTGCCAGACGACTTGAGCTTGTGCTCTTTTTTGAGCGTGTTGAACAAGCCAGTAGCAGAGCGAAAGTCTGGAATGCCAGCTGACACGGAAATACCAGCCCCTGCAATGACAACGATCTTGCGCTTCTTGTGCAAGACGGTCAGCAAGCGCTGCAGCTGGGGCAGATGTTCTAGGGGAACGTCGGGCTTGGACAGGTCGAGATACTCTGCTGTGCGCTCCTTGGGTTCCATTGTCTTCCTCCTCTTTGGTGGACGCGGGTTGTCGTCGTTGCTGCTGCATGGGGGCGAGGGCATGTCTTCGGGGACGGGCGTGGTCTTGGCGGACGAGCGCTGCGAGGACGAGGGGGACATGTAGGCGCGTCGGTGGGCGAGCGTAGTCAGCTCGGGGGGTGGAGTGGGGGAGCGAGAGAGGAGCGAGATTTCAGAGTCGGACATTTCTGTCAAGGGCGAGCTAGGCACGTTTGTTGGGTTGGGAGAAGCCATTGTGAAGAGGGCAGGCGCGACGCGAGTGGTGTGGGGTGTCGAGCAGTGGGCAGCGACCAGCGGGTGCGGTGCGGAAGACCCGATGGTGAAAGGAAGCGGCGGCAGCTTCAGCGGCAGGCCGCGTCGGGAGCTACAACGGGAGTTGTAGCTGGAATTATCGCGCTGGGGGCGCGCATACGGGAGCGAAGAGAAATGTAGAGGGCCGTGGAGAAATGCCGCGTGCAGAGGGCGTGTGCAGAGGGCGGGCGTGTGGGAAGCGCAGAATGAGCAGGGCTATGTGTGGGCCGTGGTTGCTGTCCACCGCTGGCTGTTGGATCCCCGTCAAGGAGATGGGAGCGAATAGCAAAGGGAGCGCTAGGCCATTGCGCCGGACGTGAAAGGTGCGATAAAAATAGGGCGGGTGCGCGTCGCAAACAGACGCGTTTGCAGTGACTGCCGGGGTGGTGGTGGTTGTGGTGGAGGAGGAGGTGGTGGAAGAAGGGAGCGGGTGAGGTGAAGAGGTTTGGCGGAGGTTGCGACTATGACAGGCCCAGCGCTGGTTCACCTCGACAACCATGGGGCACCGCTGCAGAGTCCCGCCAAGCGACCACCCAAACACGCACCTGTTTACAGTGCAAAGAGACATGCGTCGATAGCCGTGGCCCGGGCTCGCGCTGAGTCGATGCAGCATCCAGTGCTCAGCAGAAGCAAGCCCGACCACAGCCAGCTGGCCGTGGCATGGAATCGTCTTGCTGATCATGTACTACTTATTGGCCGGCTAAGTACATGTGTACATGTGTGCTATCTATGTACAAAGCATTGGCTGTTTTTGCGACATCACATGTCTCTTTCAGTCTACGCCCGATTCTGGTGCTTGGCCGGCGGGGAAGCAATGGCAAGCAAAGTACAGGCAATGTGCGCTTCTCTCATCGCAGCGCCTCATGCCGGCCACGACTGTGCCTCTGGCCTTGCACACCGTGTCTTGCAGCGCCTGCGTCCGTCGTGGCCAGGGCCGTGTTGGGATCAAAAGTTGGCCATGACGATGATGCTCCAACTCCAACGCACAGTGCACCAACTAGAAGCGCGCTAGTCGCCGTTAGCGCGTCGCTTACTGCCGCCATCCATGCTTACGCTTCCCTTGCTCTTGCATGCCAGCCACGCCTCGGGAGCCTGCGAGAGTCTCTGCAACCCACTGCCGCCCGCCTTGCAACATCGTCCCTCGTTCTTTTGCTGCCTTTTGCTGTGATACCCGGTCGCTGCTGGCCCCACCCTGTCTCTTAGTCTCTCTTTGCTCTAGCCGCCCCTCGTGCCGGGCGCCCCTCATCATGGATGGCACAAGCTACAACATGGACGTGGATGATCTCTTTGGCGACTCGGAACATGTCAACATCCAGACCATAAACACCACACCGCCTGTAAAAGGTCGTGATGCTCGTATCGACGAGCTGGGCTCTACCGGCTGCTGCCAGTAGGCCAAGCCTTCCTTGCCCCTCCAGCCTCTTCTGACACGTGATAGAAAGATCTCATGGTCCAAAAACGGCTGTGTCGCCTACATAACTCCAGATGGCTATTCCGTCAACCTCAAAATCTTCTCCCGCAACTCTGAAACCGGCAAATGGGCCCTCGGAAAACCCGTTCCTCTCGAGCTGCCCCAGGGCTCCGAAGTATTTCCATTAATTCACTTGTCATGGAGCCATCTGGGCAACGACCTGGCCGTCATGGACCAAGCCGGCCGCGTCATGATCTTCTCCTGTGCAATGGCCTTGGATCGCATGCACTTCACCAGAGCTGAGATTGCCCATCCAGAATCAGAAGTCGATGCTGTTGTTGGCATGCATTGGCTCGCGATTCTACCCTATGCACAAAAGGTAACACTCCCATCGTCTCGCCATGGCCAAAATCATTTACACTCTAGCAGAATCTGATTGCCTGGTCAGCTGCACGAGAGGGCAACAAGTGGAAATGGAACATTCGACAACATTTGTTCAACAATGCACATCATCCCGTCGACGGCAAAGCTTCACTCATCTATCTGAAAAGATACGGTGAGCTCAAACTTCGCTTCCAACAAAACGATAACAACTGGCAGGAGGCATCTACCCAACTGGGCCCCATGATCTCCACCAAAGAGTCGTTTACCCATGCCGCCTTTGCCTCCAACAATGGTACCTTACATTTCTTCTTCATCTCTTTTCTACGCTAACGAGCGTAGACAACACTCTTCTTCTAGCAGCATACGACGTCAAGAGGCGCCTGCATCTTTACCG